AGTTAGCCAGGGCAGGTTAGAGCAGGCAGTGAGAAAGCAAGCATTGAGAGCGCCTGCCAGGGCCCTGTGGTCAGTCCTGCCGTATTCGGGAAACACTGGAGATGAGGGGCAGGGACACAGGGAAGAAGTTGTCAGAGGTGGACTCTGGGGCACTGAGGCCTGGAGAGAGTGGGAGTCACATGGCAGGAGTGTGCTTTAGAGTCTCCCTGGGGCGGGGGAGGTGCGGTAGGGTGGCCCAGAGAGGTGACGTGGGGAGAATGTGGCCATGCAGGTCTTGCCTCTCCTAAACCTGTTCCACTCAAGATTTTGTGCCCCTACTCCCCAGCGGTCAGTCCCCAGCCCACACCTGCTTGAGCAGCAGCATTTGGTGTAGCAGGTCCCTCCCACCTTGAAGTACCGTTTTCCTTAGCTTCCAGAGCTGCTCCTGTTCTCACCTCTGGTCCTGCTGCCTTGCCCACAGATGTTAATCTAGATGTGTCCCAGGGCTCTGGCCTTGACTTCTCTATACACTCACTCCCAGGGGCTCCCTTCCAGCTTGGTGGCTGTCATTCCATCTGTGTTCTGATTATCTCCATATTGCTTTCTGCAGCCTAGACCCTGTCCCTGAACTGTGGCCTCCTCTAGCCTGTCCTGCTGCTTGCCCATCATCTCCACTAGCAGGTTGCAGGGGGTGGTTTCTAAGAGGCCTCTCAAAGTCAGCATGTCCCAAACTAAGCCCTCCACCCACATGCCAAACCCATTCTTTTGCTGAGACAGACATCGCTCTCTCAGTTTGTGGCAGTTTATCCTTTCAGGTATTCAGGCTCAGAGTTGTCCCGACCCCCAACCCCCTTCCTCACATCCACATCTGCTGCATCAGCACGTCCTGTCTGCTCTGTTTAATCTGTTAACCCTTGAGAAATCCCCTAAACAGCTCATAACATACAGTGTACTTGGCTCTGTGCATGTGAGCCTATATAATAATACATTTGTAGCTGGGCACAGTGGCTCATGCCTGTAATCCCAGCTCTTTGGGAGGCCAAGGTGGGCAGATCACCTGAGGTCAGGAGTTTGAGACCAGCCTGGTCAACATGGTGAAACTCCGTCTGTACTAAAAATACAAAAATTAGCTGGATATAGTAGTGGGTGCCTGTAATCCCAGCTACTCTGGAGGCTGAGGCAGGAGAATCGCTTGAACCTGAGAGGCAGAGGTTGCAGTGAGCCGAGATTGCGCCATCACATTTCAGCCTGGGCGACAGAACGAGACTCTGATAATAATAATTTTAATGTATTTGTAATAGTTACAGAAATTTGGTGCATCTAAAAAAAAAAAAAAACATGCAAAATATAATTCTCTCTTTTATTTATTTATTTTTTTTTGAGACGGAGTCTCGCTCTGTCACCCAGGCTGGAATGCAGGGCGCAACCTTGGCTCACCACAACCTCTGCCTCCCAGGTTCAAGCGATTGTCCTGCCTCAACCTCCTGAGTAGCTGAGATTACAGGCGTGCACCACCACGCCTGGCTAATTTTTCTTGTATTTTTAGTAGACATGGGCTTTCACCATATTGGCCGGGCTGGTCTCAAACTCCTGACCTTGTGATCTACCTGCCTCAGCCTCCTAGGGTGCTGAGATTACAGGCATGAGCCACTGCACTTGGCGATTCTCCAGTATTTTAAATTTTGTGTGAGAAACAGAATAATGACAGGTAGATGGGATTTATGGTACACTGGGTTTGAGTGAGCCATAGGCGTGTCCTGCCAAAAGGCCCCAAGCCTCCGTGGAATGCTCTTGTACCCAAGAAGTCCTGCAGAAGAGGAACTGTAGCCTCTTGAGGGGAAGAAATGTCCATTCTGCAGCGCTCACGGGGTGGTAACTGGAGCAGTAGGAGGGCCATTAGACCCCAGTATCTGTCTGCACCTAGGAGTGGAGAGAGTGGTGTCTACTGGGAACGCAGTGGGGCTCGGGGGCTTTTGAGTCTGGAAAGGGTGATCCTCACTCCAAACTGCTTCTTGGGACCAGGTGAGGCTTCGAGCTCTGAGGAAGAGCCTCCATCCCCAGAGGATAAAGAGAACCAGGCCCCGAAACGGACTGGCCCACATCTGCGCTTCGAGATCAGCAGTGAGGATGGGTTCAGCGTGGAAGCAGAGAGCTTGGAGGGTGAGTAGGGGGTGCAGTGGCAGGAGGGAGAGTGTCCATAAACACCATCCTGACTCAGCCCTAGCCTGCTCTCTCCCAGGGGCATGGAGAACTTTGATCGAGAAAGTGCAAGAGGCCCGAGGGCATGCCCGGCTCAGACATCTCTCCTTTAGTGGTAAGGGGTGTGCCCAAAGCGGGCTGGGGGCTGGATGTCTCCCCCGAGGGCAAGATGGGCCCTCCACATGACAGATGTGTCCTCAACATCTCCCTTCAGGAATGAGTGGGGCAAGGCTCCTGGGCATCCACCACGATGCTGTCATCTTCCTGGCCGAGCAGCTCCCTGGGGCCCAGCGCTGCCAGCACTATAAGTTTCGTTACCACCAGCAGGGAGAGGGCCAGGAGGAGCCACCCCTGAATCCCCACGGGGCTGCTCGGGCAGAGGTCTATCTCCGGTGAGAGGTCTGGGGTGTGATGCCTGGGTCAGGGTGCCCTATGAGAGCTCTTGAGGGTGGGAGTTAACTGTTTAGAGGTTGGAAACTGAGGCCTGGGGAGGAGACACTAGGTCACTTCAAATTATTTCTAGAATTGGCCAGGCTCAGTGGTTCACGCCAGTAATCCCAGCACTTTGGGAGGCCAAAGTGGGAGGATCACATGAACCAAGGAGTTTGACACCAGTGTGGGCTATAGGACAAAACCCCATCTCTCAAATACAATTTTTAAAAAGTTATTTCTAGAGCTGACATCAGAAGAATGAACCCCACCCATTTCCCCTTTAGCTGTGTCTTCAATAGTGTATTCCTCCCTCCCCACTCCCACCTGCAGGAAGTGCACCTTTGACATGTTCAACTTCCTGGCCTCCCAGCACCGGGTGCTCCCTGAGGGGGCCACCTGTGACGAGGAAGAGGATGAGGTGCAGCTCAGGTCAACCAGGTATGGGGTGTGAGATGGGAGGCAGGCGGTGGTCTGGAAGGGTCCTAGAGAGTGAGCAGGGGTGAGAGAGGTCATTCTGAGCACCAGCCTGGGTGACTGCTGTCCCTCACCAGACGTGCCACCAGCCTGGAGCTACCCATGGCCATGCGCTTTCGTCACCTTAAGAAGACTTCCAAAGAGGCTGTGGGTGTCTACAGGTGAGTGGGGTTGGGGGGGAGGATGCCCCTGGGTGGACTGACAGGTGCACTGGGTTACAGGTGTTGTCTGGTTTCTGTCTCCCTCCCCACTGAGTTCCCCGTTTGTCCTGCTTTGCAGATCAGCCATTCACGGGCGAGGCCTGTTCTGTAAGCGAAACATCGACGCGGGCGAGATGGTCATTGAGTACTCCGGCATTGTCATCCGCTCGGTGCTGACCGACAAGCGGGAGAAGTTCTATGATGGGAAGGTGGGCTCCCAGTGGCAGTGGGAAAGCGGTGGGTGAAGCGGGCTGGCCCTCGGGGACAGAGCACCTGATCCCCCGCCTGATCCCTGCAGGGCATCGGGTGCTACATGTTCCGAATGGATGACTTTGACGTCGTGGATGCCACAATGCATGGTAATGCCGCCCGCTTCATCAACCACTCCTGTGAGCCCAACTGCTTCTCTCGAGTCATCCACGTGGAGGGCCAGAAACACATCGTCATCTTCGCCCTGCGCCGCATCCTTCGTGGTGAGGAGCTCACCTACGACTACAAGTTCCCCATCGAGGATGCCAGCAACAAACTGCCCTGCAACTGTGGCGCCAAGCGCTGCCGTCGGTTCCTTAACTGAGGCCGTGGCCGCCCACCACGACCCCTCACACCTGCTGCCGTCGCTGCCATCTTGCCCCTAGCCTGGGGGCTCCCTAGCCCCTCCTAGAGCATCTCACCCTCACCCTCATGCTCAGGGTGGATGTGGGCATGCAGGCGGCAAGGGCCCCGCCTCCACCCCTCCAGCCCACCCAGCAATCGCCCCCTTTCTGCCCTGGGGGCCCAGGATGTAGATATTGTACAAAGGTTTCTAAATCCCTTCTTTTCTATGCACTTTTTTATTTAAGAGGTGGGGTCCCAGGTGGGAACCCCCCCACAATAAAGTCTGTCAATGTTTGGAGAGGTGGTCTTCCCATTTGTAGGGTGTAGGGGCAGGTAGGAACCCACTTCTCCACACCCACCCATTGCGAGCCAAGGAATTTCAGCCTCAACAGGTAGTGAGAGGCCATCATGCAGAATTAGAAGTCAGTCATGGGGTCTGCTACAGCTTCAAAACAACACATCACAGCAAGTGCCTGTAGCAGGGCTGTTTCTCAGAGGGGATTCTGGTGGCCCAGGGGCACCTGGGCTAAGCCTTCCCACATGTGGCCCTGTGTGTATGTTGGAATGGGCCCTTGTAGGGCAAAGAGCAATGAGGGTATCTGTTGAGTCTTTGCCCAGTTAGGATTGTACTTCAGGAAGTACTTCAGTGCTAATTGTATGCTGGGACTAGTAGTCAGCAAGGTGGAGTGTTAAGCCCAGTGAACCCCAGATCAGCCAAGCTTGGACAGCACCTGCAATGCATCTGCCCTGCCTAGCTGGGCAAGGTGTGTGCTAAGCTGGCCCAGAGAGGCAGAGGGCTCCCTTGCCACCACCATCTCAATCAGAGCCCGCAGTGGCGAGCGACTCGGCCTCAGGGAGTAGGCAAAGGTAGACCAGGCAGCAGGCAGCCCATATCTTGCAGCCAGGTGTCGAGTAGTGCCATGGGCCATGCCCCCACCTGGCCCAGGTTCAGGGTCCAGCAGTACAATCAGCTCTTCCAGCACCTCCAGCTCATCCAGGAGGCGAGACAGGGGCTGTGACACCAGACTGGGCAGTTCTGGGAGAGAGAGGGGAAGGGTAAAGGGGAGGAAGGACATCCAGTCCACCTTCCCCTGCCCTCCCCGGGGCTCTTCCCGGACCAACCCCTGCTCAGGAGTGGAAGTAGAGAAACCTCCTTCCATGTGTCCCCCGTCTCCAGGGCGCCTGGGGAGCACAAATTCGAGGGCATGTTGGTGTTGGGGACTTCGCAGACCAAGCCAGGATAAGGATAGGGGTCCGCTTTCCCCTTGGGCCAGCAGAGGTGCCAGAGCAGAGCAAACAGGATCGCTGTCACCACCAAGGTCAGGAGCAGGACCAGAACCAAGAACGGGATGAAACTCGGCAAGGTCTGCCCAGGGACGGGCTCAGGGGTCCTCGAAGCAATGGAACTTGCTGGTGAGGTGCGCTCCTGGAAGCTAGAGGCGCCTGGGTTTCCAGGTGTGAGGGGGCAGTGCCCCTTGGCAGGGACCGGCCTCTGGGGATAAGGGGTTGGAGTAAAGCAGGAGGCCACACTCCACTCCAGCCCCCTCCCAAACCGCCCATACTCATCAAACCCTTTGATGGGGCTACAGCCCATCTGATGTGATACCTGATAAGGTAGTTGGGTCCCGCAAGGCCCAATTACCTTAACCTAGGACCTCCCAACCCCTGCAGGCCAGCCACCTCCTTATACCACGGCCCCACCCCTTACCCCTTATGTGGGGCTACACCCGCTCCCTAGATCCAGGGCCCCCATCTCCAGCACGCCCTTGCCCAGCCGGGAGTCCCATCTGCAACCTCTCTGCAGCGCCACAGGGTTCTGCCCCCGCCCGCGGCGTGAGTGGGGATCGTGGCTCCGCCGCCGCAGGGGCTACATAGCTCGGCGCCGTCGGGGTTGCACCGCCCAGGAGGACACTCTCGGAACGCACGCTTTATGATATCGCCGTGGTCATTGAGCCCGCAGTTTTCCTCGAACTCGTAGTCTAGCGGGAAAGCTGTGCTCCAGTGTGGTCCGCCTAACCCCACCCTGCGCAGGCAACACCCTCTCCTTCGCCCAATCCCGCAGAGCTCCGCCCCCTTACGGCACTCCCAGCCTATCAGCGTGCGCCCCGCTCCTGTCACTTTTTTCCCGGATCTCCTCTTCATCCCCCTCCAGCTCTGCACCAAGTTCCGCCCACGCCCAGTTTATCTACATAAAGCTCACCCTTTCTACGAGCCCTATCCTGCCAGTCTCTCCAGCCATATCCCTTCGCTGTTGCCCTACGGTAGCCCGCACTATCCCTTCTGCATAAGCTCGGCCCGTCATCCCTATCTGATCTGTATAAGGCCCAATGCTTCGATCCCTAAGCAAGCCTCTCTGGCCCGTAGCCCACAGACCTTGTCCCTTCCCCGCTCCCGATTACCTGCGAGCTCCGCCCAAGCAAGGCTGGGTGTTGGATTCTCACCTGGGCAGGGGGGCGGCCCGAAGCGCTGCAGGCAGACGCTGCAGCACTTGTTGTCTGGGTTCCAGTATTCAAGGCGGCCGCAGTACTGGGAGGCTTCTGGAGGTGGTGCCAGGGCCAGAAGCAGCAAGGCCGTCAAGAGGCGTAGTCCAGGCCCCATCTGGGGGGCCGTGATAGCGGGACTTCCAAACACAGCGCCTCTGCCACACTTTGCCGGGGAAACCGGGCCGAAGAAAGGACACGGTGATGTGGGGGAACAGAATTCCCACGCTCCTTCGGAAGCCTGTAATCTATTCCCCAACTCAGCCGGTTATCAGAAAAGCCAAGGCCACAAGGGGTCTAAGAAAGTGGGCTGCGGGATCTAGATTGCAAGAATGCATATCCCACCTCTGCCATGTCCTCACCTACCCACCGTCCCTTTCCCATACCTAAATGAGACAATAATAGCATCTGTCTCATAGGGTTATCATGGAGAATTAGAACCGTTATTAGAAGTAAAACAGAGGCTGGGTGCGGCGGCTCACACCTGTAATCCCAACACTTTGAGAAGCCAAGACATGTGGATCACTTGAGCCCAGGAGTTTGAAATCAGCCTGGACAACCAAATGAAACCTCGTCTCTACAAAAAACAAAAAGCACTTTACCAAGTGCAGTGCTTCATGCCTATAGTCCCTGCTACTAGGGAGGCCAAGGTGGGAGGATTGCTTGAGTCACCGATTCCAGACCAGCCTAGGGAAGACCTTATCTCTAAAACCAAAACCAAAAAAAAATGGCCCAGCGCAGTGGCTCATGCCTGTAATCCCAACACTTTGGGAGGCTGAGGCAGGTGGATCCCCTAAGATCGGTAGTTCAAAACCAGCCTAGCCAACATGGCAAAGCACCATCTCTACTAAAAATACATTAGCTGGGTGTGGTGGCAGGTGCCTGTAATCCCAGATACTTAGGAGACTGAGGCAGGAGAATTGCTTGAACCTAGGAGGTGGAGGTTGCAGTGGACCTGGATTGTGCCATTGCATTCCAGCCTGATCAGCAAGAGTGAAACTCCTTAAAAAAAAACAAAAAAAAAACAACTAAGTTTACAAAAGTTCTGGAGGAAGAAAAAAAAAACTAAAGTGCTTAGAATAGCATCTGACATGTAGTAAACTCATTTGTCAGGCATTACTAACTCCCATCTCAATTCGGCAGGCAACAGAGGAGCCAGCCCATGCCCAGTTTATCTACATAAAGCCCACCCTTTCCACATGGTCCCTATCCCACCTCTCCAGCCAAATCCCTTCTCTGTTGCCCTATGGTAGCCCACCCTATCCCTTTCTGCACAGGCTCTGCCTGCCATCCCTATCTGATCTGCGTGAGGCCCACCACTTCGATCCCTAAGCAAGCCTCTCTGGCCAGTAGTCATCAGACCACCCCTTACTGGCTGGAGACCACCTCCCGGCACCTCACCTCACCTTTGAATCCTAATCTCCTCGGGGCTAGGACTCCTCCCACGCGCCACAACCAGATCTCTCCCCCTTGAAGAAGTCTCAGATGGAAAGTGCTAAGGTTTTCAGCACAAAGGTGTCCCCCTAACAATACTGTTAGGGTCCCGGGTCCCAAGATGGATGTTCCAAGTTCCTCAGCTGAAGCTGTGGCCGGAACCCCAATATCGTTTCCCCTTTTCGTCACATGTGTGGGTGGAAGGAAATGTCAATTCGCTTGCTGTGGTTTCACAACAAAGCAAAATTTGCTATATGGTACTTTATTGAGAGGGGTGGTAGAAGAAGGTCTCCATGTTGAGCAGATTACATTATGGAGCCCGGGAGCCAGGGATAGACAGGGCAGGAAAGTGAAGGGGGCTTTGAGGAGAGGTCCTGCCAGGAACATCTGTTCCTGTGGGTGGCGAAGGGTAAGGCAGCCAGGTCCTCAGAAGCGGCCATGCCGGTGATCTGGGGAATGCCGGCGGTTTCTCTCTCGGGGACGGTGGCCAGTATGGGACCTCGGCGGTGACCTGAGAATAGGAGTGTTGAGAGTTGGGTTAGAACCCTGAGGAGTGGTGCAGAGATCCGCAGGCCTGCCTCTGCTCTGGGATGAGGCAGGAGGATGCTGAAATAACTAGAGTTCTAAGACATGGCCCAGAACAGGTACTCAGTGGCCAATATCAGGGGTGGCAATCCAGGCTGGTCTTGGATTAGGGGTTCAGGCTGGTTTGGGGATTGGGATTTAGGTACTGGCCTCCAGATGGGGCTCAAAACTACACTTACGGTATAACAGTCTTGGGAATGACCAGGTGCAGTGGCTTATGCCTATAATCCACATACTTTGGGAGGCCGAGATGGGTGGATCACCTGAGGTCAGGAGCTCACAACCAGCCTGATCACCCTGCTAAAACCCCGCCTCAACTGAAAATACAAAAAATAGCCGGGTGTGGTGGCTGGTGCCTGTAATCCCAGCTAAGGAGAATTAGTTGAAACTGGGAGTCAGAGGTTGCAGTGAGCTGAGATGGCACCATTGTACTCCATCCTGGGGAAGAAGAGCAAAACTCCATATAAAAAAAAAAAGTGTTGGCTGAGCGTGGTGGCTCCCACCTGTAATCCCAGCACTTTGGGAGCTGAGGCAGGTGGATCGCAAGGTCAGGAGTTCAAGACCAGCCTGGTCAAGATAGTGAAACCCATCTCCACCAAAAATACAAAAATTATCCGGGCATGGTGGCGGGTGCCTGTAATCTCAGCTACTCGGGAGGCTGAGGCAGAGAACTGCTTGAAACCAGGAGATGGAGGCTGCAGTGAGCTAAGACCGTGCCACCGCACTCCAGCCTGGGGAAGAAGAGCAAAACTCCATCTCAAAAAGAAAGAGTCTTGGGGACGTTGTTACTGGGGCTTAGGGTCAGGCTCATCTGAGGACATAGGACCCTTTTGGCATGAGGAGACTTAGCAGGCTCGGCCTGAAGTACCTGCACGTGGGTCCCCGCCATAGAGCGGGGCCTGAGGTTTTGGGAAATGGGCCGAAGATGCATGAAGTTGCAGAAGCCACCTCGGGTACATTCCCTGCAGAGACGACAGAAAGATGGAGGAGGCCATTGTCATGACAGCCCCTACCACACATTCAAAGTCTGGGATTCCAAGTGCCCATCCCACCCTTGAACTAGCATACCCCATCTCATACTGGCAACAGCATGACTCCCGGAAGTCGGTGACGTGAGACAGCTCGGCGTGCAGCTTGCCCATTGAACGGTTATTGAGTTCAGCCACAGCCCGCTCTGCATCTTCCTCCCGCCGGAACTGCAGGAAAACGTCAGTCAGGGTCCAAGGAGAACTCAGAGATCTTCAGGGGACTCATTAGCAGCTCTGGGGCTGGACTGGATTTAGTGATGAACTTCAAGCTGAGAGGCTTCAGTGGCGACCATCAGGCATTGAAATCCCTCCACCTCTGGGCCCTAAGCCGGGGACAGCAAGCACCTTGACATAGACGTTGCCCACGAGGTGGTCCCCGAGGTTGTCTCACACATTCATCTCTTCGATCTCCCCATACTTCTCCTGCAGTTCCGTGAACACCTCCTGTGGAAGACGGGGAGGAACTCGGCTGAGCTCTCACAAGAAACCCAACCTACCCCTGCAAACCCTCACCTCGAAGCTATCATAGTGCTCCTGCACCTCCACGTCGCTCACATGACCTGGGTGAGGGGCAGGTGGAATCAGGGCCTAGCTTGCTGGGGGCTGTCCACCTTGCCCCCAGGCCTGGTCCCTTACAGTGTGATCCGTCTGCAATTTGGGCTGTGTTCTGTGGATTCCGATACAGGTTGAGCAGCACTACGGTCTGCACAGAATTTAAAAAGGGCGGGGCCTGAGATCAGAGGCCAGGGCTGCATGCAAACAGTGAGGCATGAAAGTTGGGGATGGAACCTTGCACCCCAGAAGGAGCCTAAGCATCATGAGTGCATCGGCGATCCTTTACCATAGGAAAACAGAAACAGGATGGAGGGGACTGGCAAGGACTAGCAGCCAAGGTGTGTAGACTGTACGTAAGGGGGCGCGGCCAAGTTCCCGGGAGACAAGTATTAACACTGGGGGGAGGAGACTGCAAAAAGGGCCAATCAGAAGAAAGCCGGGCGGTGGGGCGGGCCTCAGGAACCCGGAATAGGCGGGACCTGGTGACGACTGCCCTAGAAGGGGAAGGGCCGGGAGGCGTTAACTACCGGGGCTCAGCGCCGGGTCTCACCTGGGTGAAAGTCGGCTTGTTGTGAAGCCGGGAGTACTGGTCCCCGTGCCGGCAGGCCCCGATCTTAAAGTAAAAAGAGCAGTTAACCCTGGAAGAGGTGCAAAGACAGAGGTGAACCGAGGCCGGGGAGGTCGGACACCCCAGAAACACCGTCCCCCCATCCAGGACGCGGCCCCGACCCCCCGAGAGTCCACTCCCAGCGCCCGTTCTCACTTGTCCTTCTCAGTCCCGAATATCGAAGCTAAATATTCAGCCGTTTTACCCGAGCCCCTCTAGTCTGGCTGCTCCTACGTCACTTCCTTTCCTTATGAGCGCTGGGAAGTGTAGTTCGTTGCCCCCTCCAGGCGCTTTCCTCGCGCTCGGAAACGCCCTAGGGCGCTTGCGCATGGGAGGTGCGCGCCCTCCCGGCTGACTCCCCGGCAGGAGTTCTCCCAACAGCGCTTGCGTGCAGTACAGCCTCGCCCAAAGAAGACTACAATCTCTAGGGAAAACCGGGGCATCTCGTGCAAACGTCCATAACTGAAAGTGGCTAAGGCATCCCAGCCGGAGGAAGTGAGCTTCTCTGGTGAGTTGGGGGTGGTTTAGCCCACCCTAGTAAATAAAAAGAAAGAGCTCTTTAACCCAGCCAGCTTGTTAGTGGGGGCGGGGATGCCCTGCATGCAGCAAACCCACCTTTACATTTATCTCTGATTTGTCGTAATAGGGTGGTTGTTCGTGATCCTTGCATCTGTTACTTAGGGTTAAGGCTTGGGTCTTGCCCCGCAGACCCTTGGGACGACCGGCCCCAGCGCAACTATGAACCTGGAGCGAGTGTCCAATGAGGAGAAGTTGAACCTGTGCCGGAAGTACTACTTGGGTAAGGGCAGATCGCTAGGGTCCCAAGAGAAGAGAGGTGACTGGACTAGAGCACCCGGGGGGAAAAGGCCCTTGGGGCCTGGATTCAGGAATCTAAGATATGAAGCACCTGCGAACGCCTACTCCTGGGTTTGAGCGGTGAGGGCCTGGGGTCCTGAGGAACGAGGAAGCTTGGGCCTTAATTTCTGGATCCCAAGAGAGGAGGGGAATTGAGGGCCTGGACTCTTGGATCGTGCAAAAGAGGTGATTGAGGAATCAGATTCCTGGATCCCAAGGAGGGGCCGATTCCTGAATCCCTGACAACAGAAATCTCCATTGAACTTGGGTGTGAGAGAGTTTCTTCCAAATAGATCTTCTAAGTGGGAATTACAGAAGATCCTCATTGCCTTGTGACGTATTGGGTTTTTTTTTTTCTTTCTCCCTAGGTGGATTTGCTTTCCTGCCTTTTCTCTGGTTGGTCAACATCTTCTGGTTTTTCCGAGAGGCCTTCCTTGTCCCGGCCTACACAGAACAGAGCCAAATCAAAGGCTGTGAGTCTAGAACACGGAGGAGGGAGACCAGTGGCTGGGGAGAGGGGGAAGTGGGCAATCTTGATGGGAGGCCCACCTTGGCCTCCCAAAGAATTCTGGGGCTCTGGGTGAGAAGGGAAGGCTGATCTAGGGAATTTTGGAGAGCAGCTGGGAGGCGAACCCTTCCCACTTCTGTTTTCCATGACAGATGTCTGGCGCTCAGCTGTGGGCTTCCTCTTCTGGGTGATAGTGCTCACCTCCTGGATCACCATCTTCCAGATCTACCGGCCTCGCTGGGGTGCCCTTGGGGACTACCTCTCCTTCACCATACCCCTAGGCACACCCTGACAACTTCTGTACAGGCTGGGGCCCTGCTCATTCTCCACGACAGGCTCATTAGAGCAGAGGAGCCTGTCCTGGGAGCCTCTTCTCAAACCCCTAAGACTTGTTTTCATCTCCTGTGTTCTCTGCTGACAGCCCCCAATAAAGGACCCTAACTTTCCATACTGACTTCCTGGGATCTTTTAGAGGTTGAGGCATAAATTGCCTGTTAATATTTAAAAACATCTGTTGAGTGCTTTCTTTGTGCCAGGCTTAGTATTTAGACATGATGTACATTTTTTTCCAATGAATACTGTTCATAATCTTCTGAACTAGGAACTTTCCTGCTCAGGAAACTATTAGATGAGGAAGTAAAGAGTGCTTCCATTTCTTTTCTTTTTTTTGGAGATGGAGTTAGGTGCCTGTTACCCAGGCTGGAGTGCAATGGCTCAATCTTGGCTCACTGCAACCTCCACCTCCCAGGTTCAAGCAATTCTCCTACCTCAGCCGGGCGAGTAGTTGGGATTACAGGTACACGCCACCACATCCAGCTAATTTTTTGTATTTTTAGTAGAGATGGGGTTTCACTATGTTAGTCAGGCTGGTCTCAAACTCCTGACCCGGTGATCCACCCACCTCGACCTCCTAAAGTGCTGGGATTACAGGTGTGAGCCCCCACGCCCAGTTTAGTGTTTCCATTTCTAGGGGCTGTTATCCTGTACTGGTAGTCGTGAATTCAAAAGCATAACTTTCCTACTCTGGGCTTCAGTATTCTTATCAAAAGTGTAGATCAGGAATCTACCTCCTAGGATTTATCTGGGCCAAGACGTGTGATAAATAGAAGTTTCCCATTTTCTGAAGGAAGTGTTGTCTGTAAAAATAAAAGTAGTCAAGAGCTTTCACATGGAATCCTTCCTTGGCCATCCATCTTTTTTTGTTGTTGGTTTGTTTTTTTGAGGCGGAATCTCACTGTGTTGACCAGGCTGGAGTGCAGTGGTGAGATCTCACCTCACTGCAGCCTCCACCTCCCGGATTCAAGTAATCCTCCTGCCTCAGCCTCCCGAGTAACTGGGATTACAGGCATGCGCCACCATGCCCCACTACTTGGCCATCCATCTAATTCAAAATTCAATCACCACCTTGATATTGTTACATCCCTTTCAGGCTATGCTGTTTTGTGTGTATGGGGGGTGGGGTCGCTAGGGTTTTTTTTTTTTTTTTTTTTTTATGAGATGGGGTTTCACCATGTTGGCCAGGCTGGTCTCAAACTCCTGACCTCAAGGTGATCCGCCCACCTTGGCCTCCCAAAGTGCTGGGATTACAGGCTTGAGCCACCACACCCAGCCTGTTTGTTTTTGTTTTTCTAGATGGAGACTTGCTCTGTCGCCTAGGCTGGAGTGCAGAGGCGCGATCTAGGCTCAAGGCAACCTTCACCTCCCCGGTTCAAGCAATTCTTTTGCCTCAACCTCCCGGGTAGCTGGGATTACAGGAGCGTGCCACCACACCCGGCTAATTTTTGCATTTTTAGTAGAGACGGGTTTCACCATGTTGGCCAGGCTGGTCTCGAACTCCTGGTTGCAGGTGATCTGCCAGCCTCGGCCTCCCAAAGTGATTTACAGGCGTGAGCCACCGTGCCCTGCCCAACCTATATTCTTTCTCCTATTACATTTCACTTAAAATATTTTACTTGTTTACCGTTTCTCTTCCATACTTTAAAAGATAAGCTCCAGTACGGCAGGGATTTTTGTCTGTTCTGTTCCTCGAGGTGTCTCCAATGCATAGAAGAGTGCCCGGCACACAAATATTTGCAAAATGAATGAAGTTGTACCTGCAAGGAGACTAGCAGTTACCTGGCACCTAGGGAGTGCTCAGTGAGAGGGAACCCAACGTTATTTTACATTAGTCTTCCTCTTAGGAATGGAGAGACGCCAACGGTTGGTTAAATCCTTGGTTAAATCCGGTATGGAACTAAATCGGTGTAGCCGAAATCTTCTAACACTACAAATCCCAGAAAGCCTCGCGATGCCTTAATCCTTTCTTTCCCACCGTGCCCCGCGCGGCGCAGGCGCTGTTACTCGGGGTGAATCTCGGGAGCTGAAACTACACCTCCCAGGAAGCTGGGCGGTCGATGGTTTGTTTCCGGCAGCAAAGCCCCAGGAAGGTGGGATCTAAAGCTGGTGGCCTACGGAGGAAGCTCTTAATTGGTCAGGATATGAGACTGACGGCTGCATTAACTAATAGAAAAGAGATACTGCCGAAGGGGCCCGTCCACAGAAGGGAGCAGGCCACGATACAAGCAGTACACGACCGAAGGCGGAGGACCCGTCGCCCATGAAGCTAATCTTTGAACTGTCTCCGCCCGCCTCCCGCCTTGATTTGTGATCCTAGGCCCTTTGGGGCTCGTCTGACCCAGCTAGCCAGATCCCGGACCCAAACCATGTTCCCCGTGAAGGTGAAAGTGGAGAAATCAGGTGAGGACCCCAATTTCGGGGGCCTGTCGGGAGCATCGGGTTGACAGTGTGGGAGTCCCGTAGAAGGGAGTATTGAGGAAATGGGACTACGCGACTTCTCCCTGCAGCCACCTGACAATCGCTGTATCAGGCAGCGAGCGTTGCCTACCACCCTCATCCCCGCTGGGTCTGTGCTTGAAGTCGCCTTGAGATTGAATGATGGTGGCTCAGGCAGTGCGGTGCGTGGTAAGACCTGGGGAATCCTGAGCCGGTAACTCTGAGAAGGGCCCTTTCTTTCCTCTTTTTTATTTAACATTTTAAAATATTTAAGTAGAGATGAAGGATCGCCATGTTTCCCAGGCTGGTCTCTAACACTGGCCTCAAGCGATCCTCCCGTCTCAGCCTCCCAAAGTGTTGGGATTACAGGCGTGAGCCTCCGCGCTCGGCCGAAAAATCCGCTTTTCTTGGCTCCCCCTCGGTTTCCCCATTTCCAGCAGTGGTCAGAGTCACACATTTTGCTGTGCGTCTGAAGTATAGGCACTGTTCATCCTCACAGTCACTATATTCCAGTAATCCTAGGAAGTAGGAATTGTGGTCGATGTGGAAACTGAAGCTCAGAAAGAGGTCATTTTGGGTTGGGCCAGAGCTGACGGGATCCCAGGCCTGGCATGGTGAGAGCAGTGGGAGGGGTACAGAATTTAGACACAAAGGTAATAATAGTACAATGATGTAGGACGTCAGATAGCAAAAGTGTTATCAAAACAAAGTGGGAGGCTGGGTGCTATGGCTTGTGCCTGTAATCCCATCACTTTGGGAGCCCAAGGCCTGGAGATCACTTGAGGTTAGGAGTTTGAGACCAGCCTGGCCAACATAGCAAAATGCTGTCTCTATTAAAAAAAAAAAAGAAAAAGGATTTCAACATGAATTTTTTAAAAAAAAGAGCAAAAAAAAAAAAAAAATTGCCAGGTGTGGTGGCATGAGCCTGTAGTCTCAGCTACTCAGGAGGCTGAGGCAGGAGGATCGCTGGAGCCAGGGAGGCGCAGGTTGTAGTGGACTGAGATCACACCATTGCACTCCCCCAGTGAACTGAGATCACACCATGGCACTCCAGCCTGGGTAACAGAGTGAGACCCTGTCTCAAAAAAAAAAGAAAGAAAAGTGAAGGGAGTCTGACTACAAATGATGGTGAGGGAAGGTATACACCTGTGAGTACCAGTCTGAGAAGTGCAGACTCCACCCGTGGGTGCTATGGAGTTATGGAAGTTTCCAAGCAGGGGAGGATCAGGGTCAGGTTTGTTATTTTTCAGGAAGATTCCCCTGGCCACCTGTGAAGGGTGGATCAGAAGGGAAACTGAGGCAGGGAGCCCAGGGGGAGCAAAGGACAGGACCAGGATGTGTAGAATAGGGAGGAGGTGGGTGGGAGAGACACTGGGGAGGCCGAGTGGACAGGCCATGAGGTTGCTGGGCTGAGGTAGGGGAGGGAGAGGGGTATCCATGGTGAGGTACAGGGAGGGACTTGGGGACAGTGAGGCCACCCTTGAGACAGAGGCTTCAGGCCCAGGTCGGGGGTTCAGGAGAGAAGCTGGGCCTGGGGAGAGTTGTAGGGGTGATCTCTACCCTCTGCATCCACCCAAGGCTTTGCTACAATCTCAGTTGCCCCCTTCCCCACCCTCATGCTGTTTCTCCTCTGAGTTATGTCTGAATGCCCTGTGTCTGAATCCCTGGGCATCTCAAGAAGTCCCAGGACTGGCCAGGCAATTTCCCAGGTGTCCCCTCCAGGTTCTGAGCACTAGAGCCAGAGCTCCCACCAGTAAGAAGGGCAGAGCAAATACCCCTCAAAGGTAGAAGATTGTAACATCATCACTTCCTCAAGTTCTGTGATGACAGGAGGTAGCCACAGGCTGACAGGGCAGGAAGGTGGGCCTAGATCTCATTTCCTGAGTGGGGAAAGAAAAGCCCAAACAGGATGTTTTAGGTGAAATCTCCCAATTTTTAAATGTCAGCTCATTCAGATTTAATTCAGATTTAAAATTATACCACTGTTTGGCCAGGCATGGTGGCTCACACCTGTAATCCCAGCACTTTGGGAGGCAGAGACAGGCGGATCACAAGGTCAGGAGTTGGAGACCAGCCTGATCAACATCGTGAGATTCCATCTCTTTGCAATTGTTTTTGTTATAAATTTATATTACATTAAAACAAAAAAAATTTTTTTTTAGACCGAGTTTTGCTCTTATTGCCTAGGCTGGAGTGCAATGGCGTGATCTTGGCTCACCGCAACCTCCGCCTCCTGGCTTCAACCAATTCTCCTGCCTCAGCCTCCCGAGTAGCTGGAATTACAGGCATATGCCAACACGCCCAGCTAATTTTGTATTTTTAGTAGAGATGAGGTTTTTCCATTTTGGTCAGGCTGGTCTCGAACTGCTGACCTCAAGGTGATTCACCCACCTCATCCTTCCAAAGTGCTGGGATTACAGGCATAAGCCACCATGCCCAGCCCTAAAACAAATTTTTTTAAAACCCAAGGCTCCTAAGCTAAGGTGATTGGCCTTACCTCCTATCACAGAGTGATCATGTGTGACAGCTCTGGAACTAAGAGCTCTTGGCATCACTCCAGCCATCTCTGTCTGCTGCACCCTTTCAGGCTGCCTGGGCCTGGCTCTGAGATTGGCTGGGGCAGAGGACACTCATGCCTTTCCCTGGCCCAGTCAGCTGCCCACCTAGCTGGGGCCTAGGAGCTGACTCCTGCTGGGTCCCCTCTTGCCTCAGAGCTGGAGATGGCCAAAGCCCGGAACCAACTGGACGCCGTCCTGCAGTGTCTGCTGGAGAAGAGTCACATGGACAGGTGGGCCAGCGTGGGGTCAAGGCCCAGGCACCCTGGCAGGTCGGCCCTCTGATCATGGGTGGATTGGGTGGGACCCCAGAGGCTGACTTGGGGAGGAAGGTATCTAATGGAGAGGCCGCTCAGTGCCTTCCTTCTCTGGGGCCCTGGAACCCTAGGCTGAGAGATCTTTTCTGCCTCTAGGGAGCGTCTGGATGAGGAAGCTGGGAAAACCCCCTCAGACACCCACAATAAGTGAGTTTTTCTGACTGGATGTGGAGCTGAGAGTTTGTAGTTGGTAACTTTTTCCCTTACCCAAGCCCTGACCACTCTGCCCAGTGCTTCCTCCATCTCGGTCCTGACCAGTTCACCTGTATGAAGACCCTGCGTCAGGAGAAGCTTAGGTCCCCTCGTGGTTGCCACCTAGACCCCCATGGGTATGGGTGGAATAAAAGGCCCAAGGGGCAGGTGGGGTTCATGTGCATATCTCAGGTTTGATACCAGCGTCCCCAGGGTGCCCTCTGCAGGGTTTTGCACAGGCATTTGTCTGAGGGTCAACTTTCTTTCCCCACAGGGACTGCTCCATTGCATCCACTGGCAAAAGGTAAGGTGACAGGGTCCCAACCAGCTGACCAGAGGCTCCCAGCCCCTACCCCAGTCCTGACACTCCCCCCTCCCTACGCAGGCCTTCTGCCCGCTTCCCCCACCAGCGGAGGAAGAAGAGGAGGGAAATGGATGACGGGCTGGCTGAGGGAGGGCCACAGCGATCCAGTGAGTCGACTGGCCCGAGAGGGTAGGCAAGGAGCTGAGGGGCTATGCAAGGATGCTCACACACCTCCCATCCCCACCCTCCCAGACACGTATGTGATCAAGCTGTTCGATCGGAGTGTGGACTTGGCCCAGTTCAGTGAGAACACGCCGCTCTACCCGATCTGCCGTGCCTGGATGCGAAACAGCCCTTCTGTGCGCGAGCGTGAATGCTCTCCCAGCTCACCCCTGCCCCCGTTGCCTGAGGATGAGGAGGTGGGATGGGTGGTGGGCCCCAGCCCAGCAGCCTGATGCCAGGGCAATGGGTGGATAGGCGCAAAGGATCCTCCCCGTAACCTAGTGGGGTAGATGGACACAGGTCCCTCACATGAATGCTGGATCAGGCCAGGCATACAGATGTGCACCCTTAGCCTGGGGTGTGGATGGAGGTCCCTAGGGAAGACATACGTAGCCACCTGGCCTGGGGGACAGGGAACAGGGTTGCCCTGGGTAGTTAGATATGAATCTCCAAGGTCAGGCGTTCCCAAGAGCCGAGGGTCTAGACGGGTCCTTAGTACCGACCTGTGGCCACCAGGCCTTGGGGAGCAGATGGGCTGGGCAGGAATGGATGGGGGTCTGTAAGCCATCTAGCCCAGGAGGGTAGACAAGGGTCCCGAGGACAGACATATTAGGACCCTTCACACTGTCAAGAGTGGACAGAACTTCCTAGATGGCACAGATGTGACCCCCTAGGCAGGATTCCCTGAGGCAGGCAGACGTGACTCCCTGGGCTGACAGGTGTAGATGGGATCTCTGGGCTGGATAGGAGAAGACAGGGGTCCCCGGGCAGGCAGACCTGACTCCCTGGTTAGTTGAGGTGTCTGCCCTTCAGACATGCCTCCTGTCTGAGTCACTTAGTGTGCCCCTCATGCTGTTTGTTGCTGGGAAAGGAGGGATGAGTGTGGATTCCCAGCCCTCTGGTCTGACTCTCTTGGGCCTGGCTTGGGGCCCTTGTGTCCCCAGGGTTCAGAGGTCACCAACAGCAAGAATCGTGATGTGTACAAGCTGCCACCACCCACACCACCCGGGCCACCCGGAGATGCCTGTAGATCCCGCATCCCATCTCCGCTGCAGCCCGAGATGCAGGGCACCCCTGATGACGAGGTAAGTGCACCAGGCTGGCTCGAGGTTGTGGGGCACATGTGGTGGGGCTCAGACCTGACCACTCAGCCCTGCCTCTGTCCATGCAGCCCTCCGAGCCTGAGCCCTCACCCTCCACACTCATCTATCGCAACATGCAGCGTTGGAAACGCATCCGCCAGAGGTGAGCGTCCCCCAGCCTGCTTGCGCCTCCTCGGGCCTCTTGCAACTGCTGAGTCTTCCCTCTGCCTCCCCAGGTGGAAGGAGGCCTCTCATCGGAACCAGCTTCGTTACTCAGAAAGCATGAAGATCCTACGGGAGATGTATGAGCGACAGTGACTTTCCCAGCTCCCCCCACCCCAGTAAACATCTCCCAACTCCACACTGGTGTCTGTTCCAGTTCATCCTTCCTGGCCCAGACACAAAGCAGTTGGCAGAGCTCCAGCAAATTTATTGGGACAGTGAGCCTGGGAAAGTGACAGAGTCGTGGCAGGGAGAAAGGCTATGGGGAATCAGAGGGGGTGCTCGGTTGGGTCTTGAAGGAGAAAAGGTGGATGGGAGGTGGGTTGCCAAGGAGATTTCGTGTTGGAGACTTGGGGATCAAGACAAAGGGATGGGGTGGGGGGTCTAGTCAGAGTTGGGGAGGGGGCCTAGGACATCCATGCAGAGTCTGGGAAGGTTGGGGCAGGAGAGTCTGTACAATTTGGGATTGGATGTTCTGGTTGGCCTGGAATAGGTGTCCAAGAGTTGGGGCGGTCAGAAAAGAGTTCCAGAGCCTGGTGTGGCTGGCTGGAGTTTTATGGCAGAAAATGGGCTGGAGGGGCCAGTTGTGGATTGTCTGGTTGCAAGGGAAGGTTTGGGTCTTGGGAACCAGGCCCGGATGATCTGGAGCGGGAGGTCTGTGCAGTGTGGAACATTTGTGGCGTGGAGGCATTGTGCCTGACTGTCCTGGGGTTGGGGGAGGGCTGTCTACACCATAATTTGGTGTCAAAGTAGGGAAGGGATGGAAATATGGTACCCGGATATCTTTGTAGAATACTCAGAAGGAAGTAGAACCGTGGGGCTATATGCCAAGAAAGTGGGTCGGTGGGGCTGAGACTGTCGGCCGAGGGTTAGGGGAGTGCTGGTAGGGTCTGGAAGCCAGGGAGGTGTTGGTGTGAAGTCTGAAAGCTGGAGGAGGTGTGACAGTGAGGGTGTCAGAGGAAGGGGCTAGGTTATCAAGGCAGTGTCTAGGGTGGAGGTCAGGGCAGAATCCAGGAGTGGCTGAGAGGACAGTTCTGGGCGCGATCAGGACATCTGGCTGGGCGGAGTCAGATCAGCTTTAAAAGACGGAGCCTGAGGAGGCTCCCGGGGTGCGGGCGTGGCCCCGCCCCCTACTTGGCGGCGGCCGGTGGCGGTAGTGGGGCCTGGGCCGACGCTGGTGCGGCCTGGATGGACAGGACGCCCTCGGGGGACAGCGCGGACGTCACGGCAGCGGGATCCACGCCAGGAGGCAGGCGGTAGCGGCGGTGGAACTCCCGCGAGACGAATCCGTGCTCATCCTGGAGGGGAAGGAGGCTTGAGCGGCCCCGCCCCTCCGGCCCGGCGGCGCGCGTGCCCGCTCTAGCCCCGCCCCCGCCGCGGCTCACCGGGCGCTCCTCGTGGCGCGCGTGCACCTCCACGTGTTCGCCCACCACCTTGACAGCGATTTCCTCCGGCGAGAAGTGCTTCACGTCTAGCAGCACCGAGAAATGTCCGGGGTCTGTCGGCACCTGCGCGCAGTGAGCGCGGGTGGGACTGTCATCGGGCCATGCCAGGCTCGCGGGACCCACCCAGGGAAACCCCACCCCATCGGTTCCGTGCTGCAGCTCACTCTGGCCTCCCGAGCTCAGCAATCTGCTCTCCTACTGGGAATCACCCAGGACCTCTTCACCCCGAATAACGGGGATTAGCCCTCCTCCTGTAATATCTGGGATTGCGCTCTCCCCCGCAGTGATGAGGCTCCCTTCCCCTGCAAGGTCAGGAACCTCCGCCCTCCCCGGTGTCAGGGAATCCTCCGAAGTCACCACCATGCACCCCAGGGCACTGATTCCCCGGCTCCCTCTTCAGAGCCCCGGGTCCCTTCTCCCCCAGCCCCGACAAACTCGCCAAGATGCCCCTTCCCCCGTCTCCAGAATCCTCTGCCTACTTTCCCACTCCGGTCAAGGGACCTCGGCAGCGACTGGTAGCCTTCCCCCACTTCAGAGTGGCCAGGACCCCTTGCTCAAGTCTCAGGCCTTTCCCTTCCTGTTTTGGAGACATGGAGCCACTGCATGCAGTCTCCCAACTCTTCCCCGAGACTAGGAACATTCCTTCCCCTCGGGCAACCTTTAACGCCTCCTTTTACCCAGATTTCCAGGGTCACCAGCCTCCTTCAGATTCAGCAAAACTCCCCTTAGAGCGACCCAGGCCTTCCACTCCCTGGAGAGCTAATGAGACTCCCCAGTCCCCCGACACACACACACCCAAGAGCGACTGGGACCTCCCACTCGATGCAGTGAGCGGGCCTCTGAGATTCCCAGGAACTCCGGAAGCCCCTCGGAGCTGCCGGACTCTCCACCCCGCCAAGGCCAACGAACATTCTGTCACACGCCCCCACCCCAGGCTGACCCAGACCCCCCGGCATTGCTTGAGTTCGCCCCTCCCCAGGCCTGGCACCTGGGCAACCGGCAGCGCCACGCTGGGTGCGCGCAGGTAGTAGGGGGCGAGCGTGGTGGGGCAGAGCGCAGACAGTTCGGCCTCCAGCAGCCCCTCGCCGAAGCGCTGGTCAAAGAGGCGTCCGGGCGCCGAAAGTCCGGGCAGTGGGGCCGAGGCGCGGCGCAGCCAAGACGGCTGCACAGGCACCGGGATCTCCATCCTGCTCCTCGCGTTGCAGTGCCCCTGCGTGCGCAGCCGCCGATTTATAGTGAGCCCTGTGCCGGCCCCTCGAAGGGCTGCCCAGGGACACTGGGACCGTGGCCAGACTCAGCCATTAGGAGAGCCTTATTTAGAAACCCAAACAATGACTTCGCCATTTATTAAGTGCCTGCTGAATGCCTGGCAAAGGCTGTTAAGAAGGTGTCACGAAGATTCCCCAATTTCCAGAGGCGAAACTAAGGCTGAGGTGCGGGGGGGGGGGGGATTGCCGGTGTGGGGAGCACAGCGCTGTCATTGGGGCCCAGGGCCCAAGAGGCCCACGGAAGTTTCCAGTCCCTTTAATCCAGTGCCGCCCCCCTGGCAACTCTGAGGATGACGCAGATGGAAGTCTTAGGAGCAGATTCCTGGAGAATGTGGTAGCCTGGCCAGGATGTCAGGAGGACATAGAACAGGCCCTCCCTACTCTCATCCTCAGCCGGGCCTTGGGCCCAGTCTCCCGGCAGGCCGGGCCTAATTCTGTGCCTCTGACTCAGCCTCAGGTGCGCAGCGGCCATGAACAGTTTAGGCTGGCCCCCCGGGGGCCGTGCCCTGGGGCTCGAAATAGCTCATTTTGATCCTGCTACCTCGGCCAGGAGCCCAGACCTGGCAACTGATGCAACCAGCTGCTGCTGCGGCAAGAAGGAAGTGGTTAGATGACAATCGGGATGAACTGATTGGCCCAACTGATGGAGGAATGGCGATTAGAGAGGGAGAAGAGTCCCCGCGTTGCCTCTGCAACTGAAAGAACGGTAATTAGACCGGAGTCGGGACAGAACTTCTGCAGCAAGGTTTTAAAAAGCCGCACTTTTAGGCGAAGATACTTTAGATCACCTCCTAACTGCAAGCCCATCCTCAAATCCTTCCCATTGGTGCACGGTCTTGCCAATTACTGCTACACGCTGCAGGTTCTCCAATCAAACGCGCTCTGTTTCAGGCAGGCAGGTGTTTCAACCAATCGTGAGACACCTTCCGGCTACTCTTATTTCCTCTCTTTCATTGGTGGCCTTGGAGGCCTCTCGCTTCCTGCGCGGGCACTAAGAAGGGCGGGCTGATAGGGCGTTGCTAAGCGACGGAGATGCCAACGGGGCTTGTTTCGTAAAGGAGCAGAGCAGGAGGGAGTGCGGTGGGAGCCGCGGGATGGACCGCAGGTGAGGATCCCCCTCTTAGCAGCACAGCCTGGGGACGGGCCAGATAGGGTCTGGAGTCGCTAGGGCTCCGCAGCACTGAAACTACAGCTCCCAATAGCCTTTGGCCGTTCCAGCCGTAGCCTTCAGCATCCCGGGGGTCCCTTAGAGTTTTAGGTTCCTCTCTAAGGGGCCCCAAGGGATTATTTCCTCTAAAGATGTCCAAAGAAAGCTTGAGATCTGAATTTTTAAATTTTGAAATGGTCCCCAAACACGCCTGGGCGTTGTCTTTGAACTTTCTCTCGGAGGCGGAGCCCAGTGGATCCTGGGGCTTGTAGTCCATCTACCCTTCGCCTTCGTGTCTCCAAGAATTTATGGGAAATGCTCGGTGATACCGCGGTTCTTAACCCGAGCTCCACCTCACAGTCACCTGGGACGCTGCGGAAAAGACCCGGAGGCTAAGCCCCCACTAACAGATAATCTGATTCTGTTGGTCTGGAATGGGAACCGCGCGACTGTAACGGAGAAAAGCCCGTCCTAGACTGGATCCAGGGTTGAGAACCACCGGCTGCCAGTTCCTGAGTTGCTTCCTGTTAAGATTGCTCCAAGGGCGGGCTCCAGGACTCACGCTTCCACTGTCTATCCTGAATGTGCAGCGGTGCTTCATGGGAATAACAGTCCCTCTCTTCCAGGAATCTATGGGAATTGTCTGGTTCTGCCCTCCTCTAGTGTTCCCCTCCCCAGGGCTGCAGCGAAACCACGTGCTGCCTGAACCCCACTTTCCTCTTGCAGCCTGCCAGTTTTCTCCATTCAAAAGAATCCCTTTGGAGGTGCGCTCTTGGGTGGAAGCCACTATTGGCCATCCCGGAGTCAGACCTCGTGTCCTAAGGTGAGGACACCCCTCAAAGAGTGCTGAGTGCCAGCCCAGTAGCAAAAGAATGACCTCTAGAGGGTAGGAAGACATGTGATGAGAGATTTAAGAGACAGGCCCTTCTCCCCTCCCTATGGCCCTGGCCTGGTCTGCCTCTCTACCACCTGGATTCCCTCCTGAGCCCCCAACTCTAGGTCATTATCATTATAGGATGAGTTTCCTCCCCTCTGGACTGAGAATTCGTGTGTGTCTTGGTTCCCCTGCAGGGATGACCCATCAGACCTCACACTTTTTCTTCTGCTCTTCTCCCATCTTAGACCCTGAGCCCATCCAGGTCTCAGAGATCCAGGCTCCCACAAGCTCCCAAGGCTCCAGCCACAGGTCCCAACTCCCCTGAGCTGTCTGAAGAGTCCTGGACATCCAGTTCAGGGACTCCTTCCCCACCCAGTACCACTGAGGGACAGATGGGGGCTTCCCCATCACCCACCCTAATTGACAGTGGGGACTCCGTGGTGGCCAAGTAAGTACCAGCAGCCCTGGGGAAAAGGAGAGTTTGGGTTAGAGGGAGGGAGAAGGCACACAGCAATAATCATCGTGGCCAGAGCTGTTTTCATGCAGCGCTTTTTCAGGACCAGGCACTTTATGTGTGTTATTAAGAACTCTGGAACTAGACTGCCTGAGTTCAAATCCCAGCTGTGTCACTTACTCTCTGTATAATCTTGGCCTCAGTTTATCTCTTTTTATTTATTTAGAGACAGGGTCTCACTCTGTCACTCAGGCTGGAGGTCAGTGTTGCAATCACAGCTCATTATAACCTCAAACTTCTGGGCTCACGTCATCCTCCCACCTCAGCTTCCTGAGTCTCTGGGGTTATAGGCGCATACCACTACACCCAGCAATCCTCCCACCTTGGCCTCCAAAAACTGCTGTGATTATAGGCCAGACCTACCATGCCCAGCCTCAGTTTCTTTATCTCTAAATTGGTTTGTTTGTTTGTTTTTTTGAACAAGTTTCATTCTTGTTGTCCAGGCTTTAGTGCAGTGGTGTGATCTCGGCTCACTCTAACCTCTTTCTCCTGGGTTCAAGTGATTCTCCTGCCTCAGCCTCCTGAGTAGCTGGGATTATAGGCACTAACCACCATGCTCGGCTAATTTTTTTGTATTTTTAAGAGAGATGGGGTTTCACCATGTTGGCCAGGCTGGTCTCGAACTTCTGGCTTCAGGTGATCCATGCCCCGCTCTGCCTCCAGAAGTGCTGAAATTACAGGTGTGAGCCACTGCACCTGACCTAAATTGGGCATATGAATTGTATATATCTCCTAGGGCTGTTTTGAGCTTTCTATTTTTTTTTTTTTTTGAGATGGAATCTCTGTTAGCCAAGGCTGGAGTGCAATGGCAAGGTCTCAGCTCACTGCAACCTCTGCCTCCCAGGTTCAAGCAATTCTCTTGCCTCAGCCTCCCGAATAGCTAGGATTATAGGCTCCCACCACTATGCCCAGCTCATTTTTGTATTTTTAGTAGAGACCATGTTGGCCAGGCTGGTCTCAAACTCCTGACCTCCTTGGCCTCCCAAAGTATTGGGATTACATGTGTGAGCGACCGTGCCCAGCCTGTTTTCAGCTTTCAATGAGTGCTGTATGTAATGATCTCTAGCAATGCCTCTCACATGGTGAGCACTTAGATTTGTAGAATACAGGTTCAGGTGCTGTAATAAAGAGTCCCAAGTTAATTATGGCTGAAATGAGATAGCATTTATTCTTCCCTCACCTGCAGTCCAGGCAGAAGCCAACAGGAATGATGTGGCACCCGGTAGTTGTGTCAGGGACACAGGTTTCTTCTGTCTTGTTGCTGTCCCAACTCTAGGCCGTTGTCCTTTCCTTCCTGGTGCAAAATGGCTTTCAACCACATCAGCTTTCCAAAATCACATTTCATACCCTGTTTGTCAAGAACCTAGTCACGTGGCCACAAGGCTACAAGGGTACCTGGTAAATATAGTCCACAGAAGAGCGGCTGTGTGCCCAGCTAAAAGTTACTCCTGGGTGGGCACAGTGGCTCATGCCTGTAATCCCAGCACTTTGGGAAGCCCAAGTGGGAGGATTACTTGAACCCAGGAGTTTCCAGACCAGCCTGGGCAACATGCCGAGATCCCGTTTCTACTGAAAATACAAAAATACCACTGTTCGGCCAGGCACAGTGGCTCATGCCTGGGAGACCGAAGCGGGTGGATCACCTGAGGTCAGGAGTTCGAGGCCAACCTGACCAACATGGTGAAACTCCATCTCTACTGAATTAGCCAGGCGTGGTGTTGCACACCTGTAATCCCAGCTACTTGGGAGGCTGGGGCAGGAGAATCACTGGAACCCCAGAGGCAGAGGTTGCAGTGAGCCGAGATTGCACCATTGCATTCTAGCCTGGACAACAAGAGCAAAACTCCATCTCAAAAATAAATAAATAAATAAGGCCGGGCATTTTGGCTCACACCTGTAATCCAAGCACATTGGAGCCCAAGGCGGGCGGATCACCTGAGGTCAGTTCAAGACCAGGCTGACCAACATGGTGAAACCCCATCTTTAAAAAGAATAATAAATAAATAATAAAATAAATAAATAAAACAAAATTAGCCAAGTGTGGTGGAATGCACCTGTGGTCCCAGCTACTCAGGAGGCTGAGGAGGGAGGATTTCTTGAGCCCAGGAGTTGGGGGCTGCAGTGAGCCACGATTGCACAACTGCCTTCCAGCCTGGGAGACAGAGCAAGACCCTATTTTGAAAACAGTTATGTGACCGTATAAGAAAGAAAAGCAGATATTGCGGGAGAGCTACCAGGCTTTGCCATGGTGCTTGGTAAATGGTGGCTGCCCAGATTATTCTTTTTTTTTTTCTTTTTTTAAGATGAAGTCTTGCTGTGTCACCAGGCTGGAGTGCAATGGCCCGATCTCGGCTCTGCAACCTCCGCCTCCCAGGTTCAAGCGATTCTTCTGCCTCAGCCTCCCAAGTAGCTGGGACTACAGGCATGCACCACCATGCTCAGCTAATTTTTTTATTTTTATTTATTTATTTATTTTTTTTTTTTATTGGATTTTAGGTTTTGGGGTACATGAGCAGAGCATGCAAGACAGTTGCGTAGGTACACACATGGCAGTGTGCTTTGCTTCCCTTCTCCCCTTCACCCACATTTGGCATAATTTTTGTATTTTTAGTAGAGATGGGGTTTCACCATGTTGGCCAGGATGGTCTCGATCTTTTCACCTTGTGATCCGCCCGCCTCAGCCTCCCAAAGTGCATAAGCCACTGTGTCTGGCCTAATGATTATTCTTCTTATTATCTGGCTCTCCTCACTCCACTCACCTCTTATCCCCTGCTGTTCACAGGTATATAAACAGGTTCCGCCAGGCTCATCCCACCAGCCGAGAGGAGCGCCAGCCTGCAGGCCCAACAGCAGCTGACTTTTGGTGGCTGCGTCCTGACTCTCCAGACCCCAGCAGTCAAAATGCAGCAGGTACCTCCTTCAGTGCCATCCACCGCCCCCACCCCTAAACCTTTGCAGGTCAGTGCCCCCAGTAGCTATTCCTCCTGGCTCTCATACCTCAACTGGGGCTTCTCAGCAGGAGCCAACAAACCACAAAGAAGACCTCATACAGCTGTCCCTACTGCGGCCAAGGTGACCAGTGCATCCCAGGCTGTGGCTCCCCTTCAGGAAATAAAGCAGGTGATATCCTCATTCACTCCCTCCCTGGTGTGCCTGAACTGACAGCACCAGCCCTGGGATAGAATTAGAAGATCAGGAGTGGTGGCTCACACCTGTAATCCCAGCACTTTGGGAGGCCAAGGTGGGAGGATTGCTTGAGGCCAGGAGTTCAAGACCAGCTTGGGCAACATGATGAGATCCTGCCTCCACTTAAAAAAAAAAAAAAAAAAAAGAGCCAGGTGTGGTGGTGTGCGCCTGTAATCCCAGCTACTTGAGAGCCTGAGGTTGGAGGATTGCTTAAGCCTAGAAGTTCAAGGCTGCAGTGAGCTATGATTGCACCACTGCACTCCAGCCTGGGCAACAGAGCAAGACCCTGTCTCTATTAAAAAAAAAAAAAAAAGGCCAGCCACAGTTGCTCATGCCTGTAATCCCAACACTTTGGGAGGCTGAGGCAGGCGAATTATTAGGTCAGGAGTTCAAGACCAGCCTGGCCAACAAGGTGAAACCCCATCTTTACTAAAGATACAGAAAATGAGCCAGGCGCGGTGGCTGCTTGAACCTAGGAGGCAGAGGTTGCAGTGAGCTGAGAACACGCCAGTGCACTCCAGGTTGGGCGATAGGGTGAGACTCTTGTCTCAAAAAAAAAAAAAAATTAGAGCTGATCCCCATTTCAAGGAAGCTAGAACAGAAAAGGAGAATTTGCTGGCTGATGTAATTGAGAAATCCAAAAGCAGATGTTTCCAGAAATGCCTGGATCCAGGTGTTTGAATAACGCTGGGAGAGATCCAATTCTCTCTGGGCTCCATGCTCTTTTTTTTTCTTTTAACTTAGAGACAGAGTCTTGCTCTGTCACCCAGGCTGGAGTTCAGTGGCACAGTCATGGCTCACTGAAGCCTTCACCTCCTGCGTATCTGGGACTACAGGCATACACCACCGTGCCCAGCTAATTTTTTGTGTTTTTGTAGAGATGGGTCTTACTTTGTTGTCCAGGCTGGTCTCAAATTCCTGGACTCAAGCAATTCTGCCTCAGCTTCCTAAAGTGCTGGGATTGCAGGTATGAGCCCTGGCACCCACCTCTGTGCTCCTCTCAGTCCCAGGCGGGCTTTCTCCTCGTAGTAGCCAGGGTGGCCCTCGGGGTCTCTAGGCTTCATGGTCCTAGCTCAGTGACTCCACTGGAAAGTGGAGGCTTTTCTGATTGCTCCATCCAAAGTCCCAGGGCTCACTGTGATTCACACATCCTTGAGCCAACCACTGTGAACCAGAAGACAGAATGCTCTGATGAATCGGCTATGATCTGGAAGGTGGGATCCATCCTACTCCAACTGTGATTTGTCCATGAAAGGTACTGATCCACCAGGCGCAGTGTCTCATGCCTATAATCCCAGCACTTTGGGAGGCCGAGGCAGGTGGATCACCTGAGGTTGGGAGTTTGAGACCAGCCTGACCAACATGGAGAAACCCTGTCTCTACTAAAAATACAAAATTAGCCAGGTATGGTGGTGCATGCATGTAATCCCAGCTACTCGGGAGGCTGAGGCAGGAGAATCACCTGAGGTTGGGAGTTTGAGACCAGCCTGACCAACATGGAGAAACCCTGTCTCTACTAAAAATACAAAATTAGCCAGGTATGGTGGTGCATGCATGTAATCCCAGCTACTTGGGAGGCTGAGGCAGGAGAATCACTTGAACCTGGGAGACAGAGGTTGCAGTGAGCTGAGATCCTATCATTGCACTCCAGCCTGGGCAACAAGAGCGAAACTCTGTGTCTCAATTAAAAAAAAAAAAGGCCGGGCGAGGTGGCTCAAGCCTGTAATCCCAGCACTTTGGGAGGCTGAGGCGGGTGGATCACAAGGTCAAGAGATCGAGACCATCCTGATCAACATGGTGAAACCCCGTCTCTACTAAAGATACAAAAAATTAGCTGGGCATGGTGGCGCGTGCCGGTAATCCCAGCTACTAAGGAGGCTGAGGCAGGAGAATTGCCTGAATCCAGGAGGCGGAGGTTGCAGTGAGCCAAGATCATGCCATTGCACTCCAGCCTGGGTAACAAGAGCGAAACTCCGTCTCAAAAAAAAAAAAAAAAAAAAAAGGTGCTGATCCAAAGGGGAAAACTGGGTCTCTCCTCCCTGAGGAGGAGGAGCAGATTTTAAGCCAGCACATGAGGTTACCGAGGGCGGTACAACCTGCTCTCCAGGCCCTCTGTTTAAAACCCCTTTCCCAGCAGCCTTTGGGTGGGGGCTGGCCTCTGACCCTCTCACCCTGCAGAACCTCAACACATGGAACTCATCTCTGCTGGACCTGGAGACACTGAGCCTACAGAGCAGAGCTGCCAGGCTGCTCAAACGCAGGTGCCTGCACCCCGCCCCCAGCACCCTTCCCACCCTTCCCACTGCAGCTCCACCTGGCCCAGGTCTTGAGACCTCCATTGCCTGACTCCTGCCTTCTCCTTGCAGCAAAGCCTCCACATCCTCCTCCTCCTCCCTCAGCCGCAGCGATGCCAGGACTTCCTCATTCCCCACCAGCTCCAACGAACTCTCTCCCTTCTCAGAGACCTTCATCCCTGACTCAAGCAAGGGCCCTGGCCCCAGGGCACCTGGTAAGGGCTGGGAAGCAAGGGCTGAGGGAAGCCTGGGTGCAAATCCCAGCTCTGCCACTGACCATCTGTGGGACTATGGGCCTCTCTGGGCCTTGTTTCTCCAGCTGTAAAACAGGGATAATAAGGCCGGGTGCAGTGGCTCACACCTGTAATCTCAGCACTTTGGAAGGCCGAGGTGGGTGGATCACCTGAGGTCAGGAGTTCGAGACCAGCCTGGCCAACATGGGGAAACCCCATCTCTACTAAAAGTATAACAAGTAGCCGGGCATGGTGGCAGGCAAATGTAATCCCAGCAACTTGGGAGGCTGAGGCAGGAGAATTGCTTGAACTCGGGAGGCGGAGGTTGCAGTGAGCCAAGATTGCACCATTGCACTTCCTGGGCAACAGTGCGAGACTGTGTCAAAAAAAAAAAGAGTGGACCAGGTGTGGTGGCTCATGCCTGTAATTCCAACACTTTGGGAGGCGGAGGTGGATGGATCACAAGGTCAGGAGTTCAAGACCAGCCTGGCCAACATGGTGAAACCTGTCTCTAATAAAAATACAAAAATTAGCTGGATGTGGTGGCACACATCTGTAATCCCAGTTATTCAGGAGGCTAAGGCAGGAGAATCGCTTGAACCCAGGAGGCAGAGTCTGCAGTGAGCTGAGATCTCGCCACTGCACTCCAGCCCGGGTGACAGAGCAAGAGTCCATCTCAAAAAAAAAGTGATTCCATCATAGTCCAATTCCTGGGCTCAAGCGATCCTCCCACCTCAGCCTCCCAAGTCGCTGGGACTATAGGCATGCACCACTATGCCCAGCTAATTGTTTTAATTTTTTTATTTGTTGAGATAGGGTCTCACTATGTTGCCCAGGCTGATCTTAAACTCCCGGGCTCAAATGATCCCCCAACCTTGGCTCCCCAAAGCACAGGGATTACAAGAATGAGCCATTCATTAGGCCCAGCTGGTTGTTGCAGTTTTGAATAAGGAAGCCTGGGAAGGTGCCCAAGATCTGAGGGATGTGAGAGAATCCACTATGTGATACATGAAGGAAGAGTGTTCCAGGCAGAGGGAGCCACAGGTATAAAAGGCAAAGCCTTTGCCTTTCCCCAGGAGAGAGGTGCAGCCACAGGAGGGTTCCCACTGAGGGGCCTGGTCCAACTCAGGTATTCACAGGCTCCCTATGGCTGAGAGTAGGGAACAGATTCAGAGGAGAGCAGAGAGACCAGGGAGGCTGCTTGAGAGTCCAGGTGGAGTGAGTGGGGCTGGAGCAGAGCGAGGGCCATAGGGGGTGGGGGAGTGGGTGGATTCGGGGAGTATGTCTTCTGCTCACTGCTGTAACTCCAGCGTCCAGAACAGCTCAATAAATATTTGTTGAATGAGATCAGGCACTGTGGCTCACACTTGTAATCCCAGCACTTTGGGAGGCCCGGGTGGAACGATGGCTTGAGCCCAGGAGTTTGAGACCAGCTTGGGCAACAAATCAAGACCCTGTCTCTACAAAAAAAGTAAAAATTACCCCCGTGTGGTGGCACATGCCTGTAGTCCCAGCTACTCAGTAGGTGAAGGTAGGAGAATCGCCTGAGCCCAGGAGGTCGAGCTGGGTGACAGAACAAGACCATATATATATAATGAACAAAGACTTGAACGATGACAGGTGGAGAAGCCCAGGAGCACCCACTCCCCAGACTTTGACCCCTTCCTCTCTTCCCACTCTAGAGTGGAGCTGGGACAGTATCTGGAGAGCCTGTCTGAGTAACCCCTGCAGGCATGTGTGCAGGCTGTCACAGGGCTTCTGATCTCCCTGGCCCCTGCCTCACCCTCTCCTCTCTACCTCCCTTCCCCTACAGCATCCCCGGCACCAGCCCAGGCCCAGACCCCCACCCCTGCTCCAGCCCCAGCCTCCTCCCAAGCACCCCTTCGGCCAGAGGATGACATTTTGTACCAGTGGCGGCAGCGGCGGAAGCTTGAACAGGCTCGGGGAAGCAAGGGTGGTGGAGCCTGGGTGCTGCCTGGGACCCCTGCCCTCCAGACTCTGGTGAGTCGGGGAAGGAGGAGCCTGTGGGGAGCTGGAGGAGAGGGTGGGTCTGAGGGGAAGCAAGGACCCTTGGCCCTCTCTCCATACGAGATCTCTCTTCCTATCTGTCCTCAGACCTCTCCTACTCCAGTGGAGACCCTCGGTGCTCTGGGAAACCAGCCTAACCACATCCCACCATGGAGCAGTGTGGCCCAGCCTGGTCCACCCGAGGTCTTCTATGTGGAGAGGCCTCCCTTTCCCTCTGTGTCCTCTCCACATATCTTTTGGGCCCCTAGCCCCCACGGGTTCTGGGCCCCACAATCTGGGCCTTGGGTATCCCTCGGGGCTGTTCCTCCCATGCATCTGGCCTCCACCCTAGCGCCTCTGGCCTCCACCCTCCCACCCCTGGACTCTACCCACCAATCCCCAGCCTCTACCCCAGCACCTCCAACCTCCACCCTCACACCCCCAGCTGGCCCCCAAGGCTTTCCTATCCCTGAGCCAAGCAGCTCCGCCCAGCCTAACAGCCAGGGGCCCAAGTCTAGGAGGAGCAGAGCCCTTCCCCAAGAGGCTGCCCAGCCCGTCACTGAAGCTGGCCAGGGGCCTGGCCCTCAGCTCAGGGGTGTCCTGGGCCAGGTAGTGGCAGCTCGGCTGTTCCCTGACAGCCTGGAGGACCCGCCTTCTCACCTCAAGGGCCCACCTCCACCCAAGGCTGGATCTCCAAAAGTCAAGACCACACAACCTCAAACCAAGGTCACTCCCCCTCCATCTGAATCCCAGCCTCAGGCCAAGGCCATGCCACCCGCAGCAGGGTCAGTGATCTGGAAGGCCGAAGCCACTCCATCCCTTGGTGCGTGCCCACAGCCCGAGGTCCCACCCACTCCAGCAGAGCTGACATCCACAGTCAAGGACACACCGCCTGCCTTCCAGGCTGGGTCTCCGGAGGCCCTGGCCCTGCCCCCGCCCGCTGCTCACCATCCCCGCTCAGAGGCCCTGCTCGACCAGGCAGCCCGGCTGCTGGAGGCTGCAGAAGGTGATGCCTCTGCCCCCGGGGATGTTGGTGGTGGGCCTACCCGTGAAGAGGCCGGCTCCCTAGAGCTCATTCTTCTCCCCGCGACCACCCGGGCAGACTCTGATGGCAGCGAGTTCCAGGACGATCCTGTGCTCCAGGTGCTAAGAGCCCAGAGAGCAGAGCTGAGTCGGCAGAAAAGGTGACCGACCCGACCCTCCCTCTCCAGAGTCTATGACACTGGGCCCCCAAGTCCTCTGAGACCCAGTTAGGCGCCCACCCCTTCTCCTCCCCTGTCCCAGCACTCCATCCACAGCCCAGATCCTAAGCCTGAGCACCTACTCCAGTCTCTGTTCTCCCGGCTTTTCTCCAGGGAAGCAGACGCCCTATTATCGTTCCTGTTGGACCAGGCCAAAGACCCGGGATCTCGGTCCCCTCCAGCCAGGTTGCCCCCAAGGTCCCCAAGGAGGGTGCTACAAAGGGAAGGAGCTTCCCTGGATGCCAAACGACTTTGAATTGTACAGATTCTAGATTCTATTTTACCCAGTGAGGTCTTTTTTGTTTGTTTGTTACTGGTTATCTGTGAGAAAGTGTTTGTTTTAGAAAGGCCAAGGGGTTGTGCCAATTTAAGGAAATGCCCCCTGCCCTCCGCTGCCCCGTGGCTCTGTCCTTTCCCACCCCTACTCTCTTTCTTGACCACAGAAACAAGATCTCCCTCCTGGTTTTATCGTCCTTGGGGGAGAGGTTTCAGGCAAGACTTCGGGCAAGCCTGGGACCCACCTTATCTGACGTCACTCAGGATTCCTGGCTCAAATAGGACCACAGGACTGTTCTCTGGGAAAGAAACTACAGGCTCATCGGAGTGTTGGATGATGGTCCGTCCGCAGCCATCATCCAGCTTGAGCAGCAGCCGCATCTCGTGCAGCTCACCCCTCCCTCCTTGAAGCACTTTCTCTCCTGCTTCCAGAACTTGAGCGTGTCAGCTCTGCCATGACCCAGAGCCACAGCGCTGACTTCTGTCTATGCCCACCCAGAGTCTCCTGCCTAGCTTCATGACTCCAAACCCCATCTCCATTCTGATGGTCCCCAGATTTCTATCTGTAACCTACACCTGGCCATAGAATCTTGGGCTCCTAGCTCATTACCATTTCTACCCAAGGGCTTGAAAAACATCTCCAATTCCATAGGTCCTAAATGGAGTCAGTCTTTCCCCCTGAGCATGCCCCTCCCAACTTTCTTCAGCTCTGTCCTTTGCCATTAGAGTTGCCTTTGGCTTCTGTCTTTCCCTTTCACCCACAGTTAACCTGCAAATCCTGCCATCTCCAACTTTATCTTGTTTTATTTTGAGACAGAGTTCCACTCATGTTGCCCGGGCTGGAGTGCAGTGGCGCAATCTTGGCTCACTTCAACCTCCACCTCCCGGGTTCAAGGGAGTCTCCTGCCTCAGCCTTCCAAGTACCTCGGATTACAGGCACCCACCACCACGCCTGGCTAATTTTTTTTTTTTTTTTTGAGAGGAAGTCTTGCTCTGTCACCCAGGCTGGAGTGCAGTGGCTCGATCTCAGCTTACAGCAACCTCTGCCTCCCAGGTTGAAGCTCTTCTGCCTCAGTCGAAAGGGAGAAGCAGTTGAATTCTGGATAGATTTTAAAGGTGGAGGCCAGGCATGGTGGCTCACACCTGTAATCCCAGCACTTTGAAAGGCTGAGGCTGGTGGATCACCTGAGGTCAGGAGTTGGAGACCAGCCTGGCCAACGTGGTAAAACCCTGTTTCTACTAAAAATACAAAACAAAAACAAATGCTGGGCAGGGTGGCTCATGCCTGTAATCCCAGTACTTTGGGAGGCTGAGGTGGGCAGATTACTTGAGGTCAGGAGTTTAAGACCAGCCTGGCCAACATGGTGAAACCCTGTCTCTACTAAAAATACAAAAATTAACTGGGCATGATGGTAGGTGCCTGTAATCCCAGCTACTCAGGAGGCTGAGGCAGGAGACTCTCTTGAACTCAGGAGGCAGAGGTTGCAGTGAGCTGAGATTGCACCACTGCACTCCAGCCTAGGTGACAGAGTGAGACTCCACCTAAAAAAAAAAATTAATTTCTCTCTCTCTCTCTCTCTCTGTCTGTCTCTGACACTTGCTTTAGAGGCCACATTTAAAAAACTGGTTGCCATGCTGGGGAGAGGTTTGGGTTACACAGGTATATGCACTTATCAAACTTAGTGAAGTGTGTGAATTTCATTGTATGTAAAGTTTACCTCAAAAGAAAATATTGAACTCCAGTTAAAGATAACACCTGTAATCCCACTTCTTTGGGAGGCTGAGGCAGGAGGATCACTTAAGGACAGGAGAACACCCTGGGCAACACAGCAAGACCCCATCTCTACAAAAATAAATAAGTAAATAAATAGGTTTTGGAGGCGTGCTGAGGTGAGAGGTTTACTTGAGCCCAGGAGTTAAAGCTGCATTGTACTGAGCTAAGATTAGGCCACTGCACCCCAGCCTGAGCTACAGAACTACACCCTTTCTTTAAAAAAAGAAAAGTATGTACACTAAAATATTTAGGGAGCAATGTACCAATGTCTGCAATGTATGTTGAAATGTATCCATAGATGAGTTAGGTTGATAGATAAATAGGGTAATAGGAAGGTATAAGATAATGCAAGTATAGCAAAGTGTTCAGGCAGGACCTAAGTAGTGGATGTGGGGGTGTCCACTGTAAAACCTTTCAACTTCGCTGTATGTTAGAAACGTTTCATAATAAAATGACAGGGAATATATGACTGGGGTTGTTTGATATCTGCATTTACAAAATGGAGGGGTAAGATGGATTTCTAGTAACTTCTGTATGGCACAGACATGGTAAATATCTGTTTCCAACCTTTCTTTTTTTTTTGGAAACAGAGTCTGTCACCCAGGCTGGAGTGCAGTGGTGTGATCTTGGCTCACTCCAACATCTGCCTCCCAGGTTCAAGCGATTCTCCCGCTTCAGCCTCCTGAGTAGCTGGGATTACAGGCACACACCACCATGCCCAGCTAGTTATTTTTTGTATTTTTAGTAGAGACAATGTTTCATCACGTTGGTGAGGCTGGTCTCAAACTCCTGACCTTGTGATCCACTTACCTCAGCCTCCCAAAGTATTGTGATTACAGGTGTGAGCCACCACACCCAGCCTGTTTCCAACCTTTCTAAACAAACCATACATTTTTTTTTTCAAATATATCCATAGTCACCTTTATTCTGAATTAACCATTTATCAAGAGTACACCTTGGTGGGGCCGGGTCGGGGGGGGGGGGGGCGCGTGGTGGCTCACGTCTGTAATCCCAGCACCTTAGGAGGCTGAGGTGGGAAGACCACGAGGTCAGGATATTGAGACCATCCTGGCCAACATGGTGAAACCCCATCTCTACTCAACATACAAAAATTAGTCGGGCATGGTGGCACACGCCTGTAATCCCAGCTACTGGGGAAGCTGAGGCAGGAGAATCCCTTGAACCCAGGAGGCGAAGGTTACAGTGAGCCAAGATCATGCCACTGCACTCCAGCCTGGCAACCGAGCAAGACTGTCTCCAAAAAAAAAAAGTGCACCTGAAAAGAGTAGAAAAAATAAAGGAGCCCATCAAAAAAAAAAGTTCCCTGGCAAGTGGGAGGGAGGGCATGATGTTAGGAGCCCTGTTTGGGGAAGGAAGTGTCCAGATCATGAATGCCATTTTTGTCAATGATTCAAACCCTGAAGGTTGGTAGATTGAGGAGGAAGCATTTCTGGAATTCCTCCAGACATTCCCTAAGCAGCTCCACTGCCCGCTCACATGAGCTAGTCAGTCTGTAGTATCGGTCTGACTCTCAGGATACTGAGAGTCAGGAAGGCACTGTAGCCGTGGGCTGCCAAAGGATCCTTGGCCAAGGCTGCCAGCTAGTCCACGTAGTAGAACACTGGCCCTTCAAGCTCATCATAGCCAGCCAGAAGGAGGTTCACATGATATGGGATCTGACTCCGAGGACAGCCAGGTTCCCGTGTGTGAAGTTAGTTGCTGCTGTGGGAGACGATTCATACCCATTTTCGCATCTTATAAAGTAGCACTTTTTTCTGAAAATATTCTGCAAACTGTGTGTTTCCAGCCTTTCCAACACACAGAAGTAATATTTTCTCACTCATCTTAAACATCTTGTCATGATTGTCCTTCATCTGGACAATATTGCTGGCGGCCACCCGGTCGGAGGTGACAAGAGCATAGTCGGGGCCTTGGATACCAATGAGGTACTCCACAGTGGCAGGAGGCCAGGGGCTGCAGGTCAGACAGAGCACGACACTCACCGGCTTCCTGGTCTCACCAGTGAGACAGCACCTCTGAGTGAAGCTTGGCGGGATACTGGCCACGTGACTTACAAATGATACATTTAAATGAAATCAGGGTGGTCACAGTGGCTCACACCTGTAATCTCAGCACTTTCAGAGGCCGAGGTAGGCGGGTCACTTGAGGTCAGGAATTCGATACCAGCCTGGGCAACATAGTGAAATCTTGTGTCTACTAAAAATACAAAAATTAGCTGGGCGTGGTGGTGGGTGCCTGTAGTCCCAGTTACTCGAGAGGCTGAGGCACGAAGATCGCTTGAACCTGGGAGTCGGAGGCTGCAGTGAGCTCAGATGGCACCACTGCACTCCCGCCTGGGCAACAGAGTGAGACTTCGTCTCAAAAACAAACAAAATAAATAAATAAAATTGACAAGAAAAATAGCTGGTTAGCTATAAGGAGAAATAAAAGATGTTTACAGTAGCAGAACCTGATCTAGCTGTGGCACAGCTGGGGTCTAGAAGCATTCCTGAGGAAGTTACACTTGAGCTGAGACAGGTGGGACTTATCTAGTTAATAAAGGACTGTCCTAATTAGTCTTGTTGGATAATAAACTGCTCACAAAACTTAGTGGCATAAAACATTTTATTATGCTCATGGATTCTGGGAGTTAGAGGTTTGGACAGAGCTCAGTTGGGGACAATTTTTGTCTGCTCCATGATGTCTGGGGGTTCAACTAGGAAGACTAAAAGGTGACTTGATGGACTTGATGGCTGTGGAGTGGAATCCTCAGGAACTTCTTCCATGGTCTTCTCCCAGTCTGACTGGGTCTATTGACTGTCATGCCTATACATAGCTCCATTAGCTTCGGCTTCCTCAAAGCATGGCTGCCTCAATATAGTCACACTTTGCATATGATGTACTATGCTTCTATAGCTCACTCCAGTGGACAAGAACATTGGTCAAGCAACTGCATTGCCTTTTATTGCATAGCCTTGGAAATCACCGTGTAACTTCCACTGTTTTCTACTGGTTGAAGCTATCCCAGTCCTTCCCAGATTCATAGAAAGCAGTCATAGATCGGCTGGGCTTGGTGGCTCATGCCTGTAATCCCAGCACTTTGGGAGGCCAAGGTGGGTGGATCACCTGTCGGGAGTTCAAGACCAGCCTGGCCAACGTGGTGAAACCCCATCTCTACTAAAAATACAAAAATTAGCCGAGTATGGTGGTGCATGCCTGTAATCCCAGCTACTTGGGAGGCTGAGGCAGGAGAATCACTTGAACCCAGGAGGTGGAGGTTGCAGTGAGCCAAGATCTCTCCACTGCACTTCAGCCTGGGCGACAGAGGGAGATTCTGTCTCAAAAAAAAAAAAAAAAAAAAAAAGCAGTCATAGATTCTGTGTCTTGATAAGAAGAGTGTCAGAGAATTTGCAGATTTAAAATCACTGCAGGACCCCATTCTCCATCATGTGATCATTACACATAGCGTGCCTATATCAAAACATCTCATGTACCCCCACAATATATATTCCTAAATATACCTATTATGTACACTGAAAAATTAAAAACTAGAAAATCATTGTAGTGGTGGATGGGGAAACACTCCAGGCAGAAGGAACATCGTGGGAAATCCCTATGGTGGGAGTGAGGTCAGCAAAGTCAGTACGTAAGTAACTGCACGTTCACCCCTCCCTCAGTACTCCCTTTCCCCAGCCCCTGCTTAGTTATTCTCCAAAGAATGACTCGTCTTCTAATATTCCTTTTTTTTTTTTTTTTTTTAGTTGAAGTCTTGCTCTGTCACTGGAGTGCAGTGGCATGATCTTGGCTCACTGCCACCTCTATCTCCTGGGCTCAAGCGATTCACCTGCCTCAACCTCCCAAATAGCTGGGACTACAGGCTCCTGCCACCATGCCAGGCTAATTTTTGTATATTTAGTAGAGAAGGGGTTTCATCGTGCTGGCCGGGCTGGTATCGAACTCCTGACCTCAAGTGATCTGCCTGCCTCGGCCTCCCAAAGTGCTGGGATTACAGGGGTGAGCCACCATGCCTGGCCTAATATTCTACATATTTTAATGTTAATTTTGTTCATTGTTTTCTCTCAGTAGCTTTTGAGCTCCAGTGTGGGCAGGACATGTTTTTTCCTGGTTTTGCATACCTACAAATTGATCAGAGTTTGAGTGAGTGAATGAATGAATGAACAGACCAAGACCCTCTGAGGTGAGAGTCTTGTGGAGGGCATGACCAAGGAGAGACCCTCTTGTGAAGGGCATTATTACAGTGTTATCTGGGCATGCCTGGTAATAGTAGGATCCACTGGGATTGGCTTTATGGGGGGGCATAACCATGCTGTGGCATTTCTCCCTAAACATTTTCTTAGGAAAAAAAAGCATCAAGGCTGGAGGCTGGCCCGTAATAAGCAGCAGAAGAGGAGACAAGAAAATGTCCAGTGGGCAGGGGGAGGCCAAGTCACAGAAAGCCTAGATTTATGTCCTAGGCAAGGTGTCTGAGGCAATGAGAAATGTCCATGGGCAGAGCGTCCTCGGGATGATGTGAGCGGGGTCGGGATCGGGACTGAAAAGGTGGGACTTGGGACTCGGACTTCGAAAAGCCACTTGAGGAACGGGGCACTGCTCTGAGGCCGTGGGAGAATCCAATTAAGAATATCAGGGCCTGGCATGGTGGCTCATGCCTGTCATCCCAGCGCTTTGAAAGGAGGCTGAGGCGGGAGGATCTCTTGAGCCCCGGAGATCAAGACCAGCCTGGGTAACATAGTGAGACCCCATGTCTAGAAAAATTAGCCAGGCGTGGTGGCACGCGCCTGTAGTCCCAGCTACTTGGGAGGTATCGCTTGAGCCCAGGAGACTGAGGCTACAGTAAGCCACGATTGCAAGACTGCACTCCAGCCTGAGCGACAGAGCGACACCCTGTCTCTTAAATGGCTCACGCCTGTAATCCCAGCACTTTGGGAGGTCGAGATGGGCGGATCACCTGAGGTCAGGAGTTCGAGACCAGCCTGGCCAACATGGTGACACCACATCTCTATTTATAAAATTTAAAAATAAAAATTTTTTAAAAAGTCAGAAGAATGGCCACTGTGAGTGGACGAAGGGGAGGGTCCATTGCGTGTTGGAAGTGTCGGAAGCAAAGCATAAAGAACCTGGGGGCGTGTCTCAGGAGGGCGATGACAGCCAATGAAAAGCAGTCATGGGCGTGGTGCTGTCAAACTTCGGGGGGTGGGACTGAAGATACCGAGCCAGGGCGGAGCCCAAGGAGAAGCCAATGAGAAGCCGCCTGGTGGGCGGGGCATTGAGCGAAGGCCAAGGGCAGAGCCAATGAGAAGCAGCGTCGCGTTCCCTCTGCCCCCCCGCCCCCGTGGGGCGCGCGCCGGAGCCCTGGGTAGCCGTTAGGGGCGGGGCCTGCAGCCGCCCGCGCGCGGCTCGCGCCCTCCCTTTTGTGTCGCCATGGCGGCGGCAGCGGCGACGAGAACGGCGAGCGAGGGGTCGAGCGCGGCCGGGGCCTGAGGAGGCTACGCAACGATGGTGGTGAGGGGCCCACGCGGCCGTCAGCCTGTCCGTCCGCGTGTCAGTCTGTCCGCGCGCAGCCCCGCCCCGCGCGCCCCGCCCCCCGGCCCCGCCCGAGCCCTCGGCCTTTGCCTCCGCCGTGGTCCCTCCAGTCCCGCGACCCGTCCCGGGTCCCAGTCCGTACCTTGACCCCGCCCCCTCGGCGCGCATCCCCTTCTTCCACGCCCTGGATGGGGTGACAGGGACCGAGTACCCGGGCTGGGAGGAGGCGGGGCTGGTCCAGAAGGGACCCGCGCCACCCGAGTGGCCCCCGCTGGGGCCTCCAGAGGCTCCTGGGTCCTACCCCAGCCCCCATCCCAACACCTTCCTGGACATCCTTCTCCCAGCTCTCAGCCTTCCCGGGCCGAGCGCCCCCCTCCCCACAGCCCCTGTCTCATTCCTGAGCCCCACCCCCACCCGCTCCATCCCCAGCCTGACCCTTTTCTTCTCCTTCTCCCTCATTTTCACCCCATCCTGCTTCCTCTCAGTGTCCCCCCTGCATCAGTCTGAGCCTCTGCCTCGTCTCTCCAGCCACTCCCTCCTTACTCCACCCCAACAGGCCAGCACTGTACCTCCCTTGATCCTCCGATCCTCTCCATCTCCTTTTCCTCATCCCCTTCCCCCACCTTCTCCCTCTCCCACCATGCTGCTCTGGCTTATTCATCCATTCATTCCCTCTCTTAGCAGACATTGACTGAGACCGCCTCTGTGCAGGCCCCATGCTCCAGGCACAGAGAGTCAGCTCTCATCCTGCCTTGGGAAGCCTCATGGGCTGGAGGGGGATGGACCCTGAGGATGAGAACCAGGGATAACTCAGGATTGCAGGGACCTGGAGGAGGGAGATGCTATAGCCAAGTCTGGCAAATCTGTCTGGCCGCTGGTTAATTTATTCAGATTTTACCCAGCCCCTGCTGTGTGACTGGGCTGGCACTAGGCACTGGGGACCCAGAAAAGAGTCAGGAACAATCCTGTCTTCAAACACCAACTCGGTGCCCAGCTCTGCCTGGGGGTCTGGTCATAGTCCAGTGAGAGAGATGAACTTGTCACCACCAGTGGCATCTCAGAGTGATCAGAGCTGTGAAGGGAGAAGCTCCGGTTGAGGCATGGAGCCTGGGATGGGGTAACCTCAGGGGATGAAGAGAGTCCAGAAGAGATGCCAGGCGCAGCCTGAAGGGTCAGGGAGAACTTCCTGGAGGAGAGCACATGTGAGCTGAGACCTGAGGGGTGGGAGGGAGGATGAATGAACCCAGGGAAAAGTGGGGCGAGTGTTCAGGCTGAGGAAACAGCCTTTGCAAAGGCGTAGAAGGAAATGAGAAGAAGGTGGGGTTTTTTTTTGACTCAGAAGTTCAAGAGCTCTGAGAGTGGGGGCAATGGAAAGAGATGGGATTGGAGAGGTAAATAGAAATCAGCTCACGGAAGCCTCGAATATCAGACCAGAGAATTCAGACTTCATCATGAAGACAACAGGGAGTCATTGAAGGCTCAGGATCTATGGAGAAACAGAGCCAGGTCTGTGTTTTGTGAAAATGATCCAGGCTCTTGCGGAAAAGCTGGTAGAAGGGGAGAGGTTGGAAGCAGGAAAGCTGATGAGATGGGAGCTGTGATTGTCCAGACAGTGGTAGGAGGCGACTGTACGCCGCAGGGTCTACGGAAGGGTTTTCAGCAGGGAGATGTGGGACCAGCATGCTCTCCATCCTGCTGCCCGCCCTGCCTCATGCCTGGCCCCTGCTCCCCCAGTCCCCCACCCCAGACCACACACGAAGAAGCAGGCCTGTCCTCAGCCCAGCCCTCACCTCCCCCGACCTTCCCTCCTGCTTCATGCTCAGGGCGGTGTGTGGTGTGTGGAGCACCCGGGCCCGAGCTGCACTGCCAGATAACAATGCTCTCGTTGTCTCTTTGCTCCCATCTCTGGGGGCCTCTGATTCTTCTCTCTGCTCTACAGGCACGCAGCACTGACAGCCTGGATGGCCCAGGGGAGGGCTCAGTGCAGCCCCTATCCACTGCTGGGGGGCCCAGTGTGAAGGGGAAGCCTGGGAAGAGGTGAGGGTGAGGGAGTAAAGGGCTCAGCTTAGGAGCTGGGGAGGCTCAAGGAGCTGCTGGTGACATCCCCTGTCTCCCAGGCTCTCAACTCCTCGAGGCCCCTTCCCCCGGCTGGCTGACTGTGCCCATTTCCACTATGAGAATGTCGACTTTGGCCACATTCAGGTATGTGGGCTTTGCACCCAGGAGGAAAGACAATATCCTCTCAACCTTGCAACATATCAGCTGCTTTGCTTCAGAAACCTGTCCCTGTGACTGGCTGCTGCACGCATCTGAGCAGTCAGCAGCAAAAGTTGCAGGAGTGAGAGCAGATGGGGAGAGCTGCTCACTCATTCATCCGTTTGTTCTTTTATTCATTAAACGACAACTTTTGTTAGGTATCTGCTCTGTGCCAGGGTCCTTTACATCACCAGCACATCACCAGGCCCTGTCCCTGGGGAGGTCCACTAGGGGACACAAACCCGTCCCTAGTAGTGTCATCCCGCTGAGGTCAGGACTGGGACAAAAGTCCACCTGGGCCTTGCTTTCCCTCTGCAGCTCCTGCTGTCTCCAGACCGTGAAGGGCCCAGCTTCTCTGGAGAGAATGAGCTGGTGTTCGGGGTGCAGGTGACCTGTCAGGTGAGGCCACCCTGCCTCTCATCTAGCCTGAGAGACTGGCTGCCATAGTCTTCAGCTCGGTGTCATGGGGCCCCTGCTCCCTTCTGTCCCTCTGCTCCCACAGGGCCGTTCCTGGCCGGTTCTCCGGAGTTACGATGACTTTCGTTCCCTGGACACCCACCTCCACCGGTGCATATTTGACCGAAGGTTCTCCTGCCTTCCGGAGCTTCCCCCGCCCCCTGAGGGTGCCAGGGCTGCCCAGGTAACCTGCTTGTTGTCTCAGCCCCTGCATCATGAGTGTGTCTTCATTCGCAGTGCGTGAAATCACCAAGGCAGGGAGACAAAGAAATATTTAGATACTGGTATGGCCCAAGTCCCAACCAATCTGAGTGAGTGAAGAAGCCTTAGAAACGTAGTAGGCTTCTGCTGCACTCCACCTGGAGAAGTTTTAGGATCATGGGGAGGTCCGGGGTCCCATGGTGGGTCACCATGGCCATACCAACCAGGGCACTCAAGAGCCTAGCCCAGGCTATTATTCATTCATATGCCAATAGCTCAGTGCCTAACAGCTGAGCAGCACCCATGCGTTCAGGATGAACTTCAGCCCAGAGACGAGCTAGGACCGTGTGGGAGGGCAGTGGGCTCTCTCACTGCCACTCCCCACCCTGACAACCTGCCCCAGATGCTGGTGCCACTGCTGCTGCAGTACCTGGAGACGCTGTCAGGACTGGTGGACAGTAACCTCAACTGCGGGCCTGTGCTCACCTGGATGGAGGTGGGCTTGGAGTTCAGAGTGGGTGAGGGGTATCTGAGGGGCAAGAACCAGCCTGGGAGTGTGTGTGGGCACAGAAAAGAAAGAAGCCAGAGTGGAGGAGGCATTGATATTTTAGTGTCTGTGTGGGCGCATGCCTGTGAGAGAATATGTGTGAGTGTGTTAGCAGGTGTTCGGCTGTGAGGATACAAAGATTTAAATGTATGTCAATTAGAAATGGTTGGGCTGTAACTCACAGAGCACCTGCCCAGGAGTGGCTTAAACCAGAGAGGTTTTTTGGTTTATAAAGGACAGGATCTTGTTCTGTCACTCAGTCTGGAGTGCAGTGCTGCCATCATTGCTCACTGCAGCCTTTAACTCCTGGGCTTGAGCTATGCTCCCACGTCAACCTCCTGAGTAGCTAGAATGACAGATACGTGCCACCATGCCCAGCTAATTTTTGTTTATCTTATTTCATTTAGTATTTATTTATTTATTTATTTTGAGACAGAATCTTGCTTTGTTGCCCAGGCTGCAGTGCAGTGGTACTACCTTGGTTCACTGCAACCTCTGCCTCCCGGATTCAAACAATTCTCCTGCCTCAGCCTCCTGAGTAGCTGGGATTAGAGGCATCTGCCACCATGCCTAGCTAATTTTTATATTTTTAGTAGAGACGGGGTTTCACTATGTTGGCCAGGCAGGTCTCAAACCCCTGACCTCAGGTGATCCGCCCTACTTGGCCTCCTAAAGTGCTGGGATAACAGGTGTGAGCCACTGCGCCCAGCCTCTGGCTAATTAAAAAAAAAAAAAATGTTTTGTAGAAACGGTTTTGCTCTGTTGGCCAGGCTGGTCTCAAACACCTGGACTCAAGCAGTTCTCCAGCCTCAGCCTCCCAAAGAGCTGGGATTACAGGTGTGTGCCACCACGCCCAGCACAGAGAGTTTTTAGATGGTAACCATGCAGTAGCTGCTGTGGAGGATGAAGGTGCGGAGGTGGATGGGGAAGCTTTGGCTGGGAGAATCCTGGGATATGTGAGGGAAATAAAGGGGTTTGTCTTCGAGGTTTGCCCACCCCCAAAGGGCACCAAGGCTGCACCCCTACAAACAGGAATTTAGGTGTTTGACTAATAGCTCTTGAGTGATAGGAGGTCTTAGGTGGGGGACAGGCAGTGGCCTCACTGGTATGCCTGTACTAACGCCTTCTGACCTCTTGCCACATCCTGCCTCTGTTTCAGCTGGACAATCATGGCCGGCGACTGCTCCTCAGTGAGGAGGCGTCGCTTAATATCCCTGCAGTGGCAGCCGCCCACGTGATCAAACGGTACACGGCCCAGGCGCCAGATGAGCTGTCCTTTGAGGTAAGGCTGTGGGGAAGCAGTCTCCAGCTGGGCTCCCCATGCCCCGTGCTCCTTCTGACCCTTCTCCTCCGGTCCGCCCACTCCCAGGTGGGAGACATTGTTTCCGTGATCGACATGCCGCCCACAGAGGATCGCAGCTGGTGGCGGGGCAAGCGAGGCTTCCAGGTGAGCCCCATTGGGTGTGGACAGGTGGGGCTAGGGCACCTGCCAATTGGGGTGGCGTAGCCACTGACCCTAATGTTCCTCAGGTCGGGTTCTTCCCCAGTGAATGTGTGGAACTGTTCACAGAGCGGCCAGGTCCAGGCTTGAAGGCCGGTAAGTGCCTGAACGGATGGGAGGGATGGGGAGGGTGGGGGCTCCTGTGTCCTTTGCCTCCCACTCATCCCTTCCACCCCGTTGTTTGCCCTGCAGATGCCGATGGCACCCCATGTGGCATCCCGGCTTCCCAGGGTATCTCGTCTCTGACCTCAGGTAACAGAAATAGGTGGTCAGATCCCTGCCCCTGCCCCGCCAGGCCCCTGGCTGTGCTGACCCCACGTGGCCTGCCTTTGCCCTTTGCTCCCACAGCTGTGCCTCGGCCGCGTGGGAAGCTGGCCGGCCTGCTCCGCACCTTCATGCGCTCCCGCCCGTCTCGGCAGCGGCTGAGGCAACGGGGAATCCTGAGGCAGAGGGTGTTTGGCTGTGACCTTGGCGAGCACCTTAGCAACTCAGGCCAGGATGGTGAGGCCCGGGCCCACCTACCCACCTGCCTGTCACGCCAGGGCTGCGGCCCACCCAGCCCTGACCCTGCTTTCTCCCAGTGCCCCAGGTGCTGCGCTGCTGCTCCGAGTTCATTGAGGCCCACGGGGTGGTGGATGGGATCTACCGGCTCTCAGGCGTGTCTTCCAACATCCAGAGGCTGCGGTGAGGGTCTAGAGGAGGGGAGGGCCAGGCCATACAGAGGGAGCAGCAGGGCAAAGAGAACAGCGACAGGAGGCCGCTGCCAAGGAGTCCCCCTGCCAGTGCGCTGGGACTTCGCCTCAGGATTTTGGCTTTTACTCTGAGTGAAGGGAGAAGCATAGGAGGCTCCAAGCCAGGGCGTGGTGTAGAGGCGGGGAGGAGCCAGGCAAGAGCTCGGCCTGCAGGAAGCCGAGAGGGGAGCGCTTGAAGCCTGTAGAGACTGAAAGGGGGCGCCGAGAGGGGAGTCCAAGAGGGAGGCAGGAGGTAGCAGTGGGTGGGAGATTTTACCACAGGCAGTGGGCTCTACCAGAGAATTGGGAGCAGCCGGGTGCTGGGCTTTTGCTCTCTTACGACCAGGAGAATGGCAGCTGCATGGTAGGAGCTGCTCACACTTTGGAGTCAGACAGTCCCAGGTAGCTGTGGGCTGAGGTGCCTCTGCCTGAGCCTAAGCATCCTCCTCTGCCACACAGGCTTGTTGGGGAGTTCAGTAAGGTTCTGCCTCTAAAAAGCCCAGTGTAGGACCTGGGGAAGAGGGTTCCATCCACCTGTGGGCACTTTCAAGTAGGGGCAGGAGGAGCATGGCCAGGTTAGCAAGACCCCTCTGATCTGGATCTTCCTCCTCCTTGACGAGGTGGCCTCAGGCATGAGTTTGACAGCGAGAGGATCCCGGAGCTGTCTGGCCCCGCCTTTCTGCAGGACATCCACAGCGTTTCCTCCCTCTGCAAGCTCTACTTCCGAGAGCTGCCAAACCCCCTGCTTACCTACCAGCTCTACGGAAAGTTCAGTGTGAGTAAGGGAGCTGGCGGGACGGAGGGGCCGGGACGCCTCTGGCCCAGACCTCATCACGCCCACCATCTCAGGAGGCCATGTCAGTGCCTGGGGAGGACGAGCGTCTGGTGCGGGTCCACGACGTCATCCAGCAGCTGCCCCCACCACATTACAGGTAAACCAGGAGGGGCAGGGCGGGACTCAGTGGGGTTCCAAGGGGGTTGAGGCTCAGGTGTCCCCCTCTGCTTTCACCCCCAGGACCCTGGAGTACCTGCTGAGGCATCTGGCCCGCATGGCAAGACACAGTGCCAACACCAGCATGCATGCCCGCAACCTGGCCATTGTCTGGGCACCCAACCTGCTACGGTGAGCTGCCTGCTCACCCGACTGCCCCTCAGCTCCCTCCCAGGGCAGCCCTCAGGTCTCCCCCCAAAACCACCCCAGGAACCTGCCCAGCTTTTCACTTTTTCATTCATTTGATACATATCTATCAAATACCTCCCATGGACCCAGCCCTGTCCCCAGCACTGGGGACACAGCACTGAGCACGGCCCTGTCCTTCTGGGACTCATGTGCTCATGGAGGAGACGGAGCATGAACATCAACAGGAAAAACACAGAATAGAGTCTGATGTGATGAGTGCGAGGAGAGAGGAGGAGGGAAGGCCAGTGTGCAGGGTCAGGGAAGAGTAAGGATTTTAGCAAGAGTGGCAGGGGAGGCTTCGGCAGGTCATCTATGGCCAGCAACAGAGTAAGCTGGGGGGACTTGATGACTGAGACAGGCATGACCTCTGTCCTGCAGTACTTCACATTTTCCTGGGGCATAGATACGAAAACCAGTAGAACAGGTGGCACGCCAGAGGGCTGGGTAAGATCTATGAAGAAAAATAAGAAAGGCCTGGGGTACAGAGAAGGGGGTGAACAGTTTTGAATAAAGTGGGTGAGAAAGACTGCATTAAGAAGGCACCATTGGCTGGGCACAGCGGCTCACACCTGTAATCCTAGCACTTTGGAAGGCCAAGTCGGGTGGATTGCCTGAGCACAGGCGTTCAAGACCAGCCTGTGCAACACGGTGAAACCCCTACTAAAAATACTAGCTGGGCATGGTGGCACGCACCTGTAATCTCAGCTGCTCAGGAGGCTGAGGCACAAGAATCGCTTGAACCTGAGAGGCAGAAGTTGCAGTGATCAAGATGGCACCATTGCATTCCAGCCTGGGCGACAGAATCAGACTCTGTCTCAAAAAAAAAAAAAGAACCATTTGAGTTAAGACCTGCAGAGGATGAGGGAGGGCCCCAGTGCACATCTGGGGAGCGCCAGGCTGACAGTGGCAGGTGCAGATGTCTGGGCCTGTGCCAGTGCCAGGTGCGATGGAGGAGCCACAGGGAGGCTGGTGTGGCTGGAGCTGAATGAGTGAGGGGTTGAGGGAGAGGAAATGATGAGGTCAGAGATGTGCAGGAACCAGATAGAGGGGTGACTTAGGTCATGGGTCACAGTGAGGACTTTGCTTTTCTCCAGAGTCAGGTGCAGCCAGGGCAGGGCTCTGAGCCAGGCAGGTCCTAACAGGACTCAGGTGGTCCCAGGCTCCATCTGGCTGCAGATGGGAACATACTTCGGGGCAGGGACGGGAGCAGGAGGCAAGGAGAAGGCTCTGGGACGTCCAGGCTGGAGGCTGGGCCAGGCAGGGGGCAGTGGAGGGAGTGACAGATTGATTGAGGGAGTTAAAGTGGGGGCTCCAAGTTATTTGTCCTGAGCCACAGGAAGAACTGCAGGGACAGAAGGGGAAGGTGGGAGGGGGCAGATCTGGGGGAAGGATGAGTTTGAGAAGGTCAGAGGTGTTAAATAGACAGTCACTACCTCCCCTGGCTTCCCGAATTGCCCTGCCAGAACCTGCCAGCTGGGCTCAAGGCACCCAACCTCCCTCCTGCTCCTCCCAGGTCCATGGAGCTGGAGTCGGTGGGGATGGGTGGTGCGGCAGCCTTCCGGGAAGTTAGGGTGCAGTCAGTGGTGGTTGAGTTTCTGCTCACCCACGTGGACGTCCTGTTCAGCGACACCTTCACCTCTGCAGGCCTCGACCCTGCAGGTAGGCTCTCTCACCCCGAGGACCTGGCTACTGCCCCCCACGGTCAGGGCTGCAGGGGAGGGCAGGTGGGCTCCCAGTCCCATCCCTACCCCACTGAAGCTGGGCCTCCCTCCCGGCTCCCTGAGGACCCCGCCCCGGCCTCTCCCTCCCCGCGCCCCCCTCCTTCTCATTTCAGCTCCTCCGCTCAGGATTCCCACCTCTTGGCTCGGACGCCGCTCTTTCTTCACCCCTTGTAGCTCCTGGGGGCTCTTGGGGCCATGGGTCCACCAGGGAGGAGGTGGGAGGTCCCCAGGCTTGACCCCACCCTGGCCCCATCCAGACTCCCCGCCCTGCCCCGGACCCACCCAGACTCCCTGCCCTGCCCCGGACCCCAGCCCAGTCAGGACTCAGCACGTCGGAGGGCCCTCTGGCCCGAGGTAACTGAAGCCAGAGCCGCTGACCTCACTGGCTGCTGGGAGCTGCCTCCTCATCAGCTCGTCCTGCTCCACCCTCCTCCCACCTGCCTGCTGCCCCCGCCCGCTCCTGCCTGTTCCGTCCCGGCCCCATGCCTTGCCAGCCCGGGTGGGCACGCTGCGGGGCCGGGGCTTGGGCTGTGGCGCTTGGCTTTGCCTGTGGCATTAGGCGGCCTCAGAGCTGACAGCTCCTCCCTTTCCACACTCCCCAGGCCGCTGCCTGCTCCCCAGGCCCAAGTCCCTTGCGGGCAGCTGCCCCTCCACCCGCCTGCTGACGCTGGAGGAAGCCCAGGCACGCACCCAGGGCCGGCTGGGGACACCCACGGAGCCCACAATTCCCAAGGCCCTGGCCTCACCCGTGGAAAGGTGAGTGGGATGCTGGGTTCTAGGGGTGGCAAGGGGTAGGTGGAGGCCTGGTTCCTCAGATGGCCTCCTGTTTCTCCTCCAAACTGCAGGAGGAAAGGGGAGAGAGGGGAGAAACAGCGGAAGCCAGGAGGCAGCAGCTGGAAGACATTCTTTGCACTGGGCCGGGGCCCCAGTGTCCCTCGAAAGAAGCCCCTGCCCTGGCTGGGGGGCACCCGTGCCCCACCACAGCCTTCAGGTGAGAGGCTGGGCCACGGGCTGGTGGGCATTGGTAGTCGCTGGAGTGCGCTCCTACCTCTCCCTCTCCTGCAGGTGGCAGACCCGACACTGTCACACTGAGATCTGCCAAGAGCGAGGAGTCTCTGTCATCGCAGGCCAGCGGGGCTGGTGAGCGGGGGGGGGGAGCGAGGTGGGGTGCTACCTGTGCCCAAGTGGAGCTGGGAGGAAATGGGGCCCAGGTTTGGCCTCCAAATTTTGTACTTCATGTTTTGGGGTCCTGGGGCTTGTAAAAAATTGAACCTAGTCTTTATGTACAAGTGAGTTGGATACAGTATCACCTTTGGTTCATCACACACTGAACTGACCTTACTCATTGTTCCATGACGGGCCCTTTAAAAGTCTTTATTATTCCTGCTGAACATTTTTAAATAATATTATGGACATCCATGAACCCACCAGGCAAAACTAGAGCAGCCTGTTCCTTCTTCCCTTCGAGGTCCCCCCACCGGAGGCATCCTCTCCATTCGAAGGCCACCATGCCCTTGCTCTCCGGGTTTGATTACACACAGGTGTGTGTAAGGAACACACTGCTTACTTAGTCTGAGTCATTTTGGAAACTTTATTTAAGGAGCGTTGTAAGAAAGGGGCAGCCCCCTGCATGGGGAGCTTGGCTTTTTCCCCATCGGTACCTCGCAACCCACAGCGCTACTGGGTTCTGCCCTCTGGCCTCTTTGGGGACTGCTTATCCACAACGCCCAGCCCTGGTTCTGGGGGCTCTTCTGAGCCACTGCGCCCTTCTTCCCCCTTCCTGGGGTACTGCTCTCTACATATCCAGGAGCAGAGGCGCTGTCCTGCCGGCTCGTCAGCCACATGTGAATCTGTTTGTCTTGTGCTTACAGCGTGTGGGGTGGCCACAGGGCCTTTGTGCGTGGGGCCAAAAGTGTCCTCTTCATGGTCTCCTTCGCCATGAAACTGAAGAGCTCTTCCTAACTTCACAGCCACTGTGGCCCTTTCTGGGGAGGTGCCTCTTCCTGTCCTTTCCCCAGCTTCCTATGGGCCTGTGCACCCTATACTCAGAGATGGTCTCACTGACTCCACCCCTCCAGGCCTCCAGAGGCTGCACAGGCTGCGGCGACCCCACTCCAGCAGCGACGCATTCCCTGTGGGCCCAGCACCTGCCGGTTCCTGCGAGAGTCTGTCTTCTTCCTCCTCCTCATCCTCCGAGTCCTCCTCTTCATCCTCCGAGTCTTCAGCAGCTGGGCTGGGGGCACTCTCTGGGTCCCCATCGCACCGTACCTCAGCATGGCTAGATGATGGTGATGAGCTGGACTTCAGCCCACCCCGCTGCCTGGAGGGACTCCGGGGGCTGGACTTTGATCCCTTAACCTTCCGCTGCAGCAGCCCCACCCCAGGGGATCCTGCACCTCCTGCCAGCCCGGCACCCCCCGCCCCTGCCTCTGCCTTCCCACCTAGGGTGACCCCCCAGGCCATCTCACCACGAGGGACCACCAGCCCCGCCTCACCTGCTGGCCTGGACATCTCTGAACCCCTGGCTGTATCAGTGCCACCGGCTGTCCTAGAACTGCTGGGGGCTGGAGGAGCACCTGCCTCAGCCACCCTAACACCAGCTCTCAGCCCCAGCCGGACCCTGCACCCACATCTCATGCCCCTTCGGCTGCGTGGAGCTGAGGCCCCACTGACTGACACCTGCCAGCAGGAGACATGCAGCAAGCTCCGGGGAGCCCAGGGCCCGCTTGGTGAGTCCTGCTCAGCCTTCCCACCCCTGCCCTGCCTGCCCTCACTGACGCTGAGGGCCCGGCCCCAGCTGAACCCCTCTCTTCATTCATTTATATAGGTCCTGATACAGAGTCACCATTGCCACCACCTCCCTTGCCTCTCCTGCGACCTGGGGGTGCCCCACCCCCACCCCCCAAGAACCCAGCACGCCTCATGGCCCTGGCCCTAGCTGAGCGGGCTCAGCAGGTGGCCGAGCAACAGAGCCAGCAGGAGTGCGGGGGCACCCCACCTGCTGCCCAATCCCCCTTCCGCCGTTCTCTGTCTCTGGAGGTGGGTGGGGAGCCACCAGGGACCTCAGGGAGTGCACCAGCCCCCAACTCCCTAGCCCACCCGGGTGCCTGGGTGCCAGGACCCCCACCCTATTTACCAAGGCAACAAAGTGATGGGAGCCTGCTGAGGAGCCAGCGGCCCATGGGGACCTCAAGGAGGGGACTCCGAGGCCCCACCCAGGTCAGTGCCCAGCTCAGAGCAGGTGGGGGGGGCAGGGATGTGCCAGAGGCAGCAGCCCAGTCCCCATGTTCTGTCCCCTCACAGGTTCCTGCCCCCGGCTTCTTCTCCCCAGCCCCCAGGGAGTGCCTGCCACCCTTCCTTGGGGTCCCCAAGCCAGGCTTGTATCCCCTGGGTCCCCCATCCTTCCAGCCCAGTTCCCCAGCCCCAGTCTGGAGGAGCTCCCTGGGCCCCCCTGCACCACTCGACAGGGGAGAGAACCTGTACTATGAGATCGGGGCAGGTGAGGGGTCCCCCTATTCTGGCCCCACCCGCTCCTGGAGTCCCTTTCGCTCCATGCCCCCTGACAGGCTCAATGCCTCCTACGGCATGCTGGGCCAATCGCCCCCACTCCACAGGTCCCCCGACTTCCTGCTCAGCTACCCACCAGCCCCCTCCTGCTTTCCCCCCGACCACCTTGGCTACTCAGCCCCCCAGCACCCTGCCCGGCGCCCCACCCAGCCCGAGCCCCTCTACGTCAACCTAGCCCTAGGGCCCAGGGGTCCCTCACCTGCCTCTTCCTCCTCCTCTTCCCCTCCTGCCCACCCCCGAAGCCGTTCAGATCCGGGTCCCCCAGTCCCCCGCCTTCCCCAGAAACAACGGGCACCCTGGGGCCCCCGAATCCCTCACAGGGTGCCCAGTCCCTGGGGCCCCCCGGAGTCTCTCCTGCTCTACAGGGCAGCCCCGCCAGCCTACGGGAGAGGGGGCGAGCTCCACCGAGGGTCCTTGTACAGAAATAGAGGACAAAGAGGGGAGGGGGCTGGTCCCCCACCCCCTTACCCCACTCCCAGCTGGTCCCTCCACTCTGAGGGCCAGACCCGAAGCTACTGCTGAGCGCCAGCTGGGAGGGGCCGTCCTTCCTTCCCTTCACCCTCACTGGATCTTGGCCCAGCCAAATCCCTTGTTTTGTATTTTCTTGAGCCCTGACCCCTAACCCCAGGTTTCTAACTTTGTAACTTGCTTCTGATGTGGGCTTCTAACCTGCAATCCCAGTTTCCCTATCCTGGGCTGACGGGTCCGCCCGTCCCCCCACCTCCCTCCATCCTGGGGATCCTTGCACAAATCTGGGGAGGGGGCGCTAGGCTGACCCCATCCTCCTCTCCCTCCAGGAGCCCCCAGCATGTCCTGACCTGTGCACAGGGGTGGGGGGACAATTCCTGCCCTTCTCTCCCCACATGCCCCACTAAACCATCTGACAACATTAATGAATAAAATGGTGAAAATGTGGCTGTTGGTGTTGGGCTGGGGCCAAACTCAGTGAGCGAAGAGAGATGGAGGAGGTGCTCTATCATTCTACTTACTTTTGAGGAGGCGCCAAGGTGGGAGTTATCCTGGAAGCTCTGAGAGGCGATGTCTCAGAGAGGGAACCATGGGTACCCTGGGAGTCTGGGTCAGCAGTGGGGCTCAGGCTGGGCTTTTCTCCGAGCTGACATCCTTTTTGCAGCTCTGCCATGATCTCCTCCAACAGGTCCATCCTGGGGAGCAGGGAGGCAAGGGTAGACCTAGGGTTACCTCAGGGATAAAGAAGGGCCTCAGGGTTCTCCCATGCAAGGCCTCAGGTCTCACTTCTGCAGGCTGGGGAAAAGACCGCCTCCGGTCAGCTCAGCACTGGGTGTCTGCAGGAGAGAAGGCTACAGCTGCCACCTGCTAGCCATGGCACTCCAGCAGGCCTGGGAGGGCGGGGTGGGGCACAGGCTGGGCTCGGGGTCGGCAGTCTCCCAGCATGTGGGAAGCCTCCCTGTGGTTCAGCAGGCTGCGGGTGGGCTCACAGGGCTGGGGGTCCAGCAGGGTAACCCTGTGTGTGTGCCGCAGCAGCCCCTGCAGGGCTGGAGTCTTGGCTGAGAGCTTCCTCAAACTGCTCCGCAGAGCTCGGGGTCCCCAGCAGGGAGGCTGAGTCCTGGAGGCTGGAGTTGGAGTGCAGGGAAGGGTTAAGGTTGGAATGCAGGGTTGGTTAAGGGTCACAGGTTAGAGAGGGGACACTTGGGTGTCCCCGAAGTTCCCTGGTCAAAGGAGGGCAGCTAGGGAACTCAGGATTGGTGACTACTGGAGGGTGGGCGGAGGAGGCCACAGGTTAGCAATGGGACAGCGGTGCAGGGCTCTGGGGTGTCCATACCGTTGAGCCGGGCTCTACGCAGCACTGCAGGCAGGCCCTGACTGTGGGGCTGTGGGGCTCTGAGGCTGTGGCCAGGCCTGGGGCTGCTGCCTAGAGTCAAACTGCTGCCCGAGTTCCAAGCTATGCCCCTTGGGACCCTGCTGTGGCCTGTGACCTCAGGAGTCTCCGGGGCCTGCAGAGAGGGATGGCAGAGAGGTGCCATGGCTTGCCCAGGTGTCCCACAGCTCCCCTGGTCCCCCACGGCCCCATGCTGGCTCCCACCTGGGATGGGATGGGGCCTGGAGACATCACAGTGGGCACAGGCCTGCGTGTGCTCTTGGCTCTGAGCCATTTCACCGTACAGTTTCTCTGTGGGGACAAACCAGTTGGTCAGATGGGGGGCACAGCTCAGCTGTGCCCAGCACCTGCCATTATCTCCTCCTTGCCCTCTAACCTGGTGGGGAAGCCTGGGATGCAGGGGACAGCGTGGTCCACTCCATCGGGGAGCCCACCTCAGGAGCCATGTCCTGTGGACCAGAGACTGGGTATGGGGACATGGGCCTGCCTGGGGTCCCATGGCCACCACCCACGCCCTGCCGACCTGCCCTGTACCTGGGCTGTGGCCTCCCGCAGTAGGTATTGAGTACTCTGCAGGCTGCCCCAGCGGTCAGCAGGCGCTAGGCCTAGCCCAGCTCGAACCAGGGCCTGGTAGGGCGCCGGCACCCAGGGGTCCAGGGCCGGGCTCTCCCCTGCCTCCAGCTTGGCCTTCACCTTGGGTCCCCCTCTACCAGCCCAGGGCAGCTCTCCTACCAGGAAGCACAGTTAGGGACCCAAGCAGGAGGGTGCCTCCGTGGGGCAGGGCACAGCCACTCACTGACCAGTGAAGACTTCCTGGGCCAGGGTGCAGAAGCTGTAGAGGTCCGAGGTGGTGGTGGGAATGTCACTGCAGATCAGCTCAAGTGGCAGCCACGGGTACAGTTCAGGGGGTGGCGGAAGCCCTGGGCCTGGGCCTCCCCACGGGTAGCCCTGCTGTGGCCTGCGGACCCCAAGGGGCCTGGTGAGCCGATGGCTGCTGGACAGGGACCTGCACCCGCCACCAAACCAAGGAAAACAGACCCCAGGTCACACAGCCAGTTCAGCAGTGGGAGGGCCAGCAACCAACTCCTATAGGAACACTCTCAGTGCTCCTCCCCTCCCCCACCTCCTTCCTGGGGCCTAGAGGACACAGCTGTGCCTGGCCACAGAGGTTGGAGAATGGGGAGGAAGGGAGCGTGCAGGCCCAAGACAAGGGGCAGCAGGTGGGGCAGGCACTCACCTGGGCCGCAGCCCAGGGAGTGCCTGGTGCAGGGAGTGCCCATGCTCCAAGTGGCCCACTTTAGCCAGGCCTGACCGCCCCAGCTGCACAGCATGGGAGCTGAGGCCACCATGAGCTTGCCAGTGCCAGCGGGCCTGCAGGAACAGCAGGGCCTCCAGCACCTGCAGCAGCAGGGGGCCAGGCAGCAGGCCTGGCACAGTCCGGGGTCCCTCCTCACTTGGCCCCGAGGGTGCAGCACCCCATGCAGGGAGTCCAGCCACACAGGCTCAAAGAGAAGGCACAGTCCTGACAGGTCTGCAGAGGGGCTCAGTGCCATCAGCAGCAACAGGCCGGGGTGGTGCAGCGTGCTGGGCAGGAGGAGAGCAGGCCACTCACGAGTAGGACCCAGCCACACAGGGTAGGAGCTGCTCCTGGGCACAGACCATCCACCACGTTTCGGGTTAGGTGGTTTGCACCTGCCACCAGACAGAGGAGAATGACCCTGGGTCACGCAGCCTAGCAGTGGAGGGCCAGCACCCAGCTCCCACCTTGTCCTGGTGCCCTCTCCACCCCCACCTCCTCTCAGGCCTATAGGGCACTGTGCACAGAACTGGTACCCACCCACTGTCCAGTGGGGGGATCGCCCCAGCAGGAGAGCTCCATGCCAGGTGCTGGCCCAGAAGTAAAGACTCCATCCAGCCATGGCTACAGCCGCACACCCTGGTCTTCCATGGGAGGGCCAGCAGGAGGCTGGGCTGGGGGCTGTCACGGATACCTGCAGTGCTGAAGGTCAGCCAGTAGCACAACAAGCTGGGTTCCAGGGGACTTCAGCTGCCGCACAGTCACAAGGTGGCCCCTCCACAGGAGGCTGGAGAATGGGGGATGGGGGCAGGACAGGTCTGAGCAAGAGAGCTGATGTGGGTGCGTCGGGGCTCTCTTGCTCCCCTACCCCAGGAAAGCCCCGCTGGGTTTTGGCCATGAGGGTGTGGGAGCTGCTCTCGTAGGTGTGGTCGGCCTCTCCCTGGGCTGCCAGCAGCTCCTTGGGGTTCGCAAGGGGGATGCCCGTTACCATCCCCAGCGGCCACAGGCTACTCAGCTGGGGACAAGGAGCAGGACCATGAGGCACGAAGAAGACGGGTGGTTCCCACTCCCCCAAGCGCTCCTGCTTACCAGACCAAACCCCAAGGCTGGAACTTGGGGGGCTCTCCTGATCTGCGCTAGTCTCAGCGCCCTGGGGTGGGGGCAGGCCGAGGATAAGTTTGGAGTAGCTGGGCATGGCGGGCGGGTGGGCTTCAGGGTGCCGATAGTTACCTGTCTGCCTGCATCAGCCTCATGGAGGACAAGGAGTCAGGCAGGCTGTTCCCAGATCTGGCCTGCAACTGGCCCAGAGATGCCATGGGTGGCAACTCACCACCATGCAGTAAAGCTGATATGTGGGCCCCACAGAGCTGGAACAGCTCCAGCACCTGGAGGAGGGCACGTGGGGTGAGGCCCGGTGGGAGCCGGCCCACATCTCTCGCTCCCACCAAGGCCACTGCTCACCCCCCAGTTCTGCTTGGCCCCACCCTGCTCAGCCCAGTCTCGGGGGAGCCGTTCGACCTTGCTGGTCATGCAGTCACAAGTCACCCCCCGCCTGCAGCAGGGGCAGCATTACCAGGCTTCAGCTGGAGAAGGTGCCTGCATGTACAGGGTCCTGCCATCCATGCAGCGGCTAGAGCAGAACAAGACTAGTGGGAGTAAATTAGGGAAGGGACTGAATAGTGACTAAAAGGGGCAGGATGGAGGCCCTGGGGGGTGGGAGGAGTCATAGGATGGGAGGGGTCAGGTGAGGACTTGATGGGGTCTTTAGGGGATGAGGATCACTGCCAACACGGAGGCACCAGGAGAATGGGAAGAGTCAGTGGGGAATGAGAAGGGGTTAAGGAAGAGGACAAGGAGGGTCACCAAAGAATGGAAGACGCATCACGAGGAAAAGATTCCTCAGGAGTAGAAAGCCCTGGCTCTCAGGGGCTCATAGTCAGGCCCCTGGCTGGCCACTCACTGGTTGGGGTTGGCACCAAAGGTCAGCAGGAGCTGCACGGCAGAGCTGTGGCCCAGCAGCGTTGAGAGGAAGAGTGCCGTCTGCCCCTCGGAGTTCTCCCCATGCACCTGGATACCTGAGGGGCGGGCAGGCTTAGGACGCCCCCGGCCCACACTCCTGAGTTGGAGGCCTGAGGGCCAATAGGCAAACACCCTTGCCGATTCCCATCCTCCACAGCCTCTCCTTGACTCGAATGACTGTGTCCTGGAACCTCCACCCTCCAACTGCCGAGGACCACATCTCGAAATCCACCTCAATACAGTGTTCCCGAAACCATTAAGTCTACAAAGTTGAAACAAGGAGTGACATCTGCATGCTGTGCAAATATTTATCCCCCATCCCAGGGGGGTCAAAACCACACAAAGGTCCCCAGAGGACTTCAGGGGGACCCTAACTTCCAGGAGCCTCCTGCACTGGCCAAGACAGGCGGACTCCACCCAGCTGTGACTCAGTGTGGTACACACATGTCCCATGAAGCCAGCTCTCAACTCTTCAAGAAAAGCAAACTCTGGATTTTATCAGATCTCTCCAATTTTATTTATTTCAATTTTTAATTTTTTGTAAAGATGGGGTCTCACTATGCTGCCCAGGCTGGTCTTGAACTCCTGGGCTCAAGCAATTCTCCTGCCTTGGCTTCCCAAAGTACTGAGATTACAGGCATTAGCCACCATGTAGAGCCTCAATTTTATTTTTGAAGCCTGCGTATAAGGGCTTGATCCAAGTGGCAACCTCCTCCAAGCCCTCACCTCCAGGCCTCTGCCAATTCCCTCCCAAGCCATCTCCTGCTCAGCTCCCCCTCCCAACCACTCGCCCCTGCCCCAAGCCCTGGATCTTCCCACCCATCATTGCCCAGTTCCTCTTCATCCAGCCCCTACCCCAGGTAGGGCAAACGCACAGTATCCCTGACCTTGCACTCCTGTGTCCTTGGCAGACACAGATAATTATTCATGAACTGGGCCCAACCCAACATGGTCTCTACCACAAAATCCGTCCAAATGTGGACCTTCAAGAACCTCTGAATACCAGATTCGCAGCATTGCATTTGACTCAATAAACCACCATCTTTTACAACAGCCTCTTAACTGCCTTTCCGAACTCATACTGCCCCACAGAGGCCTCTTTTTTTTTTGAGACAGACTCATTTTGTTGTCCAGGCTGGAGTGCAATGGTGAGATCTTGACTCATTGCAACCTCCGAATCCCAGGTCCACGCGATTCTCCTGCTTCAGCCTCTCAAATAGCTGGAATTACAGGTGTGTGCCACCACACCCGGCTAATTTTTTTGTGTATTTTTAGTACAGTCAGGGTCTCATCATGTTGGCCAGGCTGATCTCAAACTCCTGACCTCAGGTGATCTACTCGCCTTGGCCTCCCAAAGTGCTGGGATTACAGGCATAAGCCATCACGCCTGGCCTTTTTTTTTCTTGTAAGACATGGTGGCTCACACTTGTAATCCCAGCACTTTTGGCCTCCATCAGGAGGCAGAGGCGGGCGGATGACCTGAGGTCAGGGGTTCAAGACTACACTGTCCAACATGGAGAAACACGTGTCTCTACTAAAAATACAAAATTAGCCGGGTGTGGTGGTGCATGACTATAATCCCAGATGCTCAGGAGGCTGAGGCAGGAGAATCGCTTGAACCTGGGAGTCTGAGGTTGTGGTGAACCGAGATCACATCATTGCACTCCACCCTGGGCAAAGAGAGCAAAACCGTCTCTAAAATAAAATATAAATAAAATAAAGATGGGGGCTCACTGCATCACCCAGGCTGGAGTGCAGTGGCACAATCAGCTCACTGTAGCCTCGACCTTCTGAGCTGAAGGGATCCTCCCACATCAGCCTCTTGAGCAGCTGGGACTACAGCACACTCCACCGAACCTGGCCTGAGGGCTCTTAAAGCACGCATCACTTTAAGGACTAGATAATCTTATATGAGTTGTTCCAAAGAAAAGAAAAACAGAAAAAGAAGACAAAGCTCATTTTATAAGGCTAACGGGATCTTAATTCCAAAACCAGATGAAAGTTTCCAGAAACAGAAAGTAAGATTACATGTCAATTACATGTATATACAAAAACCTTAAATAAAATAAAACAGATTTTTCCTTATAAAACAAGGATGATTCAACATAAGAAAATCTATTGGCTGGGCCTGGTTGCTTACACCTATAATCTCAACACTTTGGGAGGTCGAGGTGGGCGGATCATAAGGTCAGGAGTTTGAGACCAGCCTGACCAATATGGTGAAACACCTGTCTCTACTAAAAATACAAAAATTAGCCATGCCTGGTGGTGAGTGCCTGTGATCCCAGCTATTTGGGAGTCTGAGGCAGGAGAATTGCTTGAACTCAGGAGGCGAAGGTTGTAGTGAGCTGAGATTAAGCCATTGCCCTCCAGCCTGAGCAACAGAGTGAGACCCTGTCTCAAAAAAAAAAAATTACAACTAGTAAGCAAGTTCAGAAAGTGTTCTGAAACACAATCAACTTTACAAAAATCAAAACAGAAACTGTAAATTTTTTTTTGAGACATGGTCTCACTTTGTCATCTAGGCTGGAGTGCAGTGGCGAGATCTCAGCTCACTGCAACCTCCGTCTCGCAGGTTCAAGCCATTCTCCTGCCTCAGCCTCCTGAGTAGCTGGGATTACAGACACCTGCCACTACACTCAGCTAATTTTTTGTAGTTTTAGTAGAGACGGGGTTTCATCATGTTGGCCAGGCTGGTCTTAATCTCCTGACCTCATGATCGCCCACCTCAGCCTCCCAGAGTGCTGGGATTACAGGCATGAGCCACCACGTCCGGTCATCTGTCCCCACTACTTTTCCCCTTTTTTGCATAGCTGGCTCTTATACTGTGAGACTCAAGCATCCCCCACCTGAAAGGCCATGCTGTCTAATATCTAATCCTCATCCCACTGCATATCATTCCCAGTGGATCCAAGGATCATGTTCACCCTTCAGTCCCCATCAGGGACCACAGAGCTCAGAGCTCAGTGCACAGCAGGTGATCTGTACCACTGCCGACTGGCCAACTGAAGCCACACCCTCCATATAGCTGCGTGATCCCGTCCCCACAGACGTCCCAGTAACCAGGCCCTCACCTCTCCGCAGGAGTCTGGCCAGGACCCATCCTGGGCCCCCAGCCACCGCCAGGCGGTGCAGAAGGCCCACCTGGGTGTCTAGATCCCTCTCGGAGCCCAGCTCCACCGGGAAGCGAAAGGGTGGCGAGGGCATGTGTGGGCTGCAACTCAGTCTGCTCTTGGGCAGGGATCCACGGGGGATGGGAAGGACCAGAACTCTGGGGACAACAAAACAATAAAGACAGAGCTGGCTGGGGGCCCTGGGGCGGCAGTCCAGATGGGAAGGGGATTCAGGAGGGGTCTGATGGGAAGGGAGGCCGCTGAACGAGAAAAGGGGGTGGCTCTGGGAGGACAACACACCAGAAGGTCTGGGGTGGAAGGGAGGCTGAGAGATGAGGGGGATCTAAGGCAATAGGGAGGCTGGGAGGGGGCTTAGGGCTGGGGTCAGGCATGCCAGGGTGGCGAGGATAGGATCTGAGCCTGGGAAAGGAGTCGGAGGGCTCGGGAGGAGGCTCTGAAGGCTGCGGTGGGAGCAAGAGGCGCCTGTGGTTTAGGATCTGAGAGGGGTCCTGGGGAGGCTCTGGAGACAACGTCTGGTCTGTGGGGTCCGCGGAGGGGGTGGGGTCCGCGGAGGGGGTGGGTCTGAGGGCAGCGGGCAGGCTCTGAAGGAGTGGGCTCTGACGGCAGGATCTGCCAACTGTGCGAGGGTCCACGGGTGCGGCATGTGGACTAAGGACTAGGGAAGTGTCTGTGGGGACAGCAGGCTGGAGAAAGTGGCTCTGAGGACAGTGTGTGGGTCTGGGGAAGGGGTCAGCGGAATGGGGACAGGGTTTGCTAAAGGGGTGGGGGCGGGGTCTGAGGGCGGAAGAGACGGACAGGGTGGGAGGGGCCTGAGAGCTGGGGGAGGGTCTGAGGGCGATCTGAGGGCCCAGAAAGCTCTGGGAAAGTTCTGGGCCCAGACCCCAGTCCAAGTGGCTTTGCACTTGCCATTGAGCTCAACAGTGGCCGCCTCGTGACTGCCACGTGACCCAGCAGTGTTAGCAGGAATTGAGGCGATTGCGCACCAATGGCCTCCCGCAGCGCCTGCGCAGTAGCACGCACTTCACCAACACAGCCCCTGCTACTCGGCCTGGGACCCACAGCCCTGACCAGCCGTGGCTGTCGCTGTCTGAGGCTGGGTCTGTCTTTCCCCCCGGACTAAGCCCTGTAAGGCAGGGCCTGGGGTCATTCTTGTCACTGTTGTGTTCACAGCGTTGTTCACCCCAGAACCTAGCTCAAAAGAGGCCTCATTCAGTGCTTTTATTCTCACTCTGTCGCCCAGGCTGGGGTGCAGTGGCGCTTATCTAGGCTCACTGCAACCGCCACCTCCAAGGTTCAAGTGATTCTTCTGTCTCAGCCTCCCGAGCGATCTGGGCTCACAGCAATTTTTGCCTCCAGGGTTAAGCGATTCTCTTGCCTCAGCCTCCGGAATAGCTGGGATTACAGGTGCGTGCCACCACGCCCAGCTAATTTTTGTATAGTAAAGACATGGTTTCACCAAGTTGGCCAGGCTGGTCTCCAACTCCTGACCTCCTCCCATCTCAGCCTCCCAAAGTGCTGGGATTATGGGTATGAGCCACCGAACCAGGCATTTTTCTCAGACAGGATCTCACTATGTTGCCCAGGCTGGTGTGCAGTGGCGAGATCATAGCTCTCTCCAGTCTCCACCTCCAGGGTTCAAGCCAACCTCCTACCTCAGCCTCCTAAGTAGCTGGGACCACAGGCACAGGTAACCCACCACACCGGGCTAATTTTTTTCTCCCCCTCCTATTTATTTATTTATTTTTTTTTTTTTTAAGAGATGAAGTTTCATTATGTTGCCCAAGCTGGTCTCAACCTCCTGACCTCAAGCAATCCATCCGCCTTGGTCTCCCGAAGTTCTGGGAGTATAGACATGAGCCACTGTGCCCAGTTTCATTCAGTGCTTATTAACTGAGAGAGTGGCTTGGCTCTTTCTTCTGTCCCTCCCTGGCCACATGGCCTGGGCCTGGCCCCTTGACTTCAGTGCCTTGGTCTCTGCTCCCCATGTGCGCCCTTCCTTTAGGCATCCCCTGGGATGAAGAAAGTTGTGTGTCAGTCGCTCGCCAGACTCAACTTAGGACAGACAGGCTGCCTCAGAGGTGGGAGAGGCTTCCTTAGTCTTCCATCAATGCCCTGGCTATGCTCAATAAAAAAAAAAAAACAATTTCTTTCTGTCACTCAGGCTGGAGAGCAGTGGTGCAGTCATAGGTCACTGCAGCCTCAAACCCCTGGGCTCAATTGATCCTCCTGCCCCAGCGATAGCTGGGACCACAGGCACCCTAATGATTTAATTTTTCGTAGACAAAGAATCTTGCTGTGTTGCCCAAGCTGGTCTTGAACTCCTGGACTGAAGCAAGCCTCCCACCTCGGCCTCCCGAAGTGCTGGGATTCTAGGCATGAGCCACTACGCCCAGCCTAATGATCTGTCTTATACTACAAAACCCCTAGCATGGGCTGGCTGAGGTCAAGATGAGCCCTTCCCCAAGGAGGTGGCCTCAGTGCAGGACAGCAGCCTAGGTAGTGCCTAAGAACCTTTATTGACCACATGACCCCCTCAGGGGTGTGAGTGGGGTGCCCTCCGGCATCCTGGCAGCAGCCGCCGCCACAGTTCTTGGGTGAGCAGCTCCTGTTCCCTGCGGGCACCCTGGAGCACACTCCGGTTTTCCTGGGCCCTCCGGATCAGGTAGGGGATCACCTCCTCCAAGGAGCCATAGGGGATGGACTTATACACTGCGTAGCCAGCCTGCCCTGCAGGGAGAGTGGGTTTTGTTTTTTATTTGTTGGTGTTTTTTTTTCTTTTCTTTCTTTCTTTCTTTTTTTTTTTTTTTGAGACGGAATCTCACTCTTTACCCAGGCTAGAGTGCAATGGCCTGATCTCGGCTCACTGCAAACTCCATCTCCTGGGTTGAAACGATTCTTCTGCCTCAGACTCCTGAGTAGCTGGGATTACAGGCGTGCCACACCACACCCAGCTAACTTCTGTATTTTTAGTAGAGATGGGGTTTCACCACGTTGGTCAGGCTGGTCTCCAACTCCTGACCTTGTGATCCGCCTTCCTCGGCCTCCTAGAGTACTGGGATAACAGGCGTGAGCCACCACACCCGGCCATGGTTTTTGGTGTTTTTCTGAGACGGAGTCTCGCTCTGTCACCGAGGCTGGAGTGCAGTGTCGAGATCTTGGCTCACTGCAACCTCCACCTCCCAGGTTCAAGTGGTTCTCTTGCCTCAGCCTCCCAAATAGCTGGAATTACAGGCATGCACCACCATGCCGACTAATTTTTGTATTTTTAGTAGAAATGGGGTTTCCCCATGTTGGCCAGGCTGGTCTTGAACTCCTGACCTCAAGTGATCCACCCACCTTGGCCTCCCAAAGCACTGGGATTGCAATGTGAGCCACCATGCCCTGCCCCAGCTAATTGTTTTTATTATTTGTAGAGGTGGGGGTGGGGTTCTCACTATATTACCCTGGCTGGTCTCAAACTCCTGGGTTCAAGTGATCCTCCTGCCTCGGCCTCCCAAAATGCTGGGATTACAGGTGTGAGCCACTGCATCCGGCCTGCATTTTAAAAAATCTTAGTTGTTAGAATGCTGCCAAGAGAGTAAGAAATTTACTAATCTAACAATTAAAAGAAAGTAAGGCTGGGCGTGGTGGCTCACACCTGTAATCCCAGCAGTTTGGGAGGCCAAAGCTGGCGGATCAGCTGAGGTCAGGAGTTTGAGATCAGCCTGGCCAACATGGCGAAAACCCATCTCTACTAAAAATACAAAATTAACCAGGTATGGTGGCAGGTGCCTGTAATCCCAGCTACTTGGGAGGCTGAGGCAGGAGAACTGCTTGAACCTGGGAGGCGAAGGTTGCAGTCAGCCAATATGGCACCACTGGACTCCTGCCTAGGTGACAGAGCAAGACTCCATCTCTAAATAAATGAATAAATAAATAAGAGAGAATTAGAACCCAGAGAGAGAAGGGACACCCAGGAAGCCACTCCTGGCCTGAAGGTAAAACCAAGCTGCTATCTGATGGCTTCACAGAGTTAGTTGTAGGGGTACAGCTGAATCAGACTTCAAGCCTAACTGAGGTGAGAGGTGTAAGGGAGAACTTCCCCAAATTAAGCTGGAACCCAGAAAAGCTACACCCTCAGAGTAAGAGTTATAAAAAGTCAACCCTCTGACCTTCTCCCAGTCAGTCCTAAGGAATCATCTTGGCCATAAACAGGTCAAGGAAGAAAACAGAAAAACCCACCTCTGGGAAGTTGAGGCTATGGGTTAACCCCCTTATGTATTTGCAGCTCAAATTTGCACCAGTGGGGTATCTCAAGAAACCTCAAGCTGAGAATTTAGGATAAAGTGATTTCATTCCCCTTAGCACCTGGCAGAAGGAAACGTTAATTATCTGGTGTCAGGCCCTGAGGAGCAGCAGAGTAAAAGATAACAAGACACACAAGAAGTTCTATGCCCTGATCAAGAACCAGCAGAAACGACAGACTGTAGACACAGAGACACAGACTTGGACGGCTCACAGACATTGGAATGACAGATCTCTCTGGAAGGATCTGGAGGCTGGGCATTGGTTGGGAATAGAAGAAGGGCTCTGGCTGGGAGGTAGTGACACCTGGGGCTTGGTGGGGGTGGGCGAGCCATTCACATACCTAGTGCCAGAGAGACGTGGTCACACATGCCCAGAAGTTGTCCGAAACAGACAGGCCCGTCCAGAGGAATGCCCAGCTCCCACATGCTACAGAAAAGGCCATATCATCAGTCCAGACCATGGCTGCATCTAGAGCTTAAAGTCAGCCACTATGTACCCATATGGTGGCTCCAGTAATTAAAAAAAATTTTTTTTTTTGAGATGGAGTCTTACTCTGTTGCCCAGGCTGGAGTGCAGTGGTGTGATCTTGGCTTACTGCAACCTCCACCTCCTGGGTTCAAGCAATTCTCCTGCCTCAGCCTCCTGAGTAGCTGGGATTATAGGCACCCACCACCATGCCCGGCTAATTTTTGTATTTTTAGTAGAGATGGGGTTTTGCCATGTTGGTCAGGCTGGTCTCCAACTCCTGACCTCAGGTGACCCGCTGGCTTCACCCTCCCAAAGTGCTGGGATTACAGGCGTGAACCACTGCGCCCGGCACAGTAATTCAAATATTGAAGTATTTCCAAACTCAGTGACAAATAATACCAAGTCCTTTGCATTCCTTAAAGTGCCCCCCCACCCAGTGACTCCCAGCCACTTTCCTAGAGTCCTCAGAACCTCTCATGCCCCAGCAAATAAGGGACAATGTTTTGTCCATCTGGGACCTATAAAGACCTAAAGGTATAGCAGGGGTTAATGTGTTTTTTGTTTATTTTAAGAGACAGGGTCTTGCTTTGTTACCCAAGCTGGAGTGCAGTGGCTCAAGCACCGCTCACTGCAACTTCAACCTCCTGGGCTCAAGCGATCCTTCCACCTCAGCCTCCCAAATAGCTGGGGCTACAGGTGTGTGACACCGCGCCCAGCTGTTTTTTTAAATTTGTTCTAGAGCTGGGCGTAGTGGCTCACGCCTGTAATCTAAGCACTTTGGAGGCCAAGGCGGGCAGATCACCTGAGGTCAGGAGTTCAAGACCAGCCTGACCAACATGGTGAAACCCTGTCTTAAAAAAAAAAAAAGAAAGAAAGAAATTTGTTGTAGAAATGGGGTCTTGCTCTAATCTGATTAGATTTAAAGATGCTAATACAAAAAATGGGGTCTTGCCATGTTGCCCATGCCATCCTCCACTTCAGCCTCCCAAAGTACTGGTATTATAGGCGTGTGCCAACTGTGCCTGGCTACAAATATTTTTAAATCTTCTGCAGAACACTTCTGTCCATCTCTGGCATTCAAGCAAGGGAGAGAAAGGGAGGGCCCTTTTGTGGGCACCTATTTCCCACCCATCCCTCCACCTCATACCACTTGGTTGCTTGGCGAACAGATTCCTCATTGTGGGAAGCCACCATGAGGTGGCACTTGGGGCTATGGCGGGCCACGTGCGTCAGCATCAGCTCCAGGCAGCGGCTGTAACTGAAGGAAGATGCCCTGCTCACCTCACCTGGTGAGCGAGGGTCAGGCCCTAGGGATTGGGGGGTGGGGTGTTCCTAAGTGAGGGTCTCTGGAACCAGTACGCCGTTCCATCTGCACCAGCTGTAAGGGACAAACAACCCTTCTCTGAGCCACTTTCATCTTTTGGGTTTTTTGAGGGTTGTTGGTTGGTTTGTTTTTGAGACAGAGTCTCACTCTTTACCTAGGCTGGAGTGCAGTGGTGATCTCAGCTCACTGCAACCTCTGTCCCCTGGGTTCAAGTGATTCTCCTGCCTCAGCCACCCGAGCAGCTGGGATTACAGGCATGTGCTACCGTGCCCAGCTAATTTTTGTATATTTAGTAGAGACAGGGTTTCACCATGTTGGCCAAGTTGGTCTCAAACCCCTGACCTCAGGCGATCTACCTGCCTCAGCCCCCCAAAGTGCTGGGATTACAAGCGTGAGACACCATGCCCGGCCATAATTTTTTATTTTTAATGTTTTTACAGATAGGGTCTCGCTATGTTGCCCAGATTGCGCTCAAATTCCTGCGCTCAGTCTTCCTGCCTCAGCCTCCCAAGTAGCTAGGGTGACAGGCACACACCACTGTGCCCGGCTTGGTGCCAGTTAAGCCAATGGGACACAAACGTGCCCTGGAGTTCTTGCAGATCTCTAGATTCCAAGCATGGCTAGGCCACCTGCTCTGTAACCTGGGCGAGTCCCTGTGGCCCCCAGAGAAGGTACCAGGAAGTAATGATCTAAGGAGGTGAAGGGTGGGGCCATGCTCCTGTCTGCAGGGGGAACGTCCCAGGCAGTGGGAACAGGAAAAGCCAAGGCCCTGGGGATCATCAAGGAGGCCAGAGTGTCTGCAGTGGAGTGAGGGAGAGGAAGAGAGTGAGGGGAAGTTACGGAAGTGACGGAGACTTAGTGTGGGGCTTAGAGGCCACTGTAAGGATTTCTTTTTGGTTTTTCTTTGGTTTGTTTTGAGACAGAGTCTTGCTCTGTCGCCCAGGGTGGAGTGCACTGGTGCAGTCATGGCTCACTGCAGCCTTGAATTCCTGGCCTCAACTGATCCTCCCACTTCAGCCTCCTAAGTAGCTGGGACTACAGGCATATACTACCATGTGCCATTTTTAACATTTGTTTAGAGATGGGGTCTCCCTATGTTGCCCAAGCTGGTCTCCAACTCCTGTTCTCAAGTGAATCTCCAACCTCAGCCTCCCTAAGTGCTGGAATTACAGGTATGAGCCACTGCACCTGGCCACTAGGAGTTATTATTTCCCGCAGAGGCCAGCTGGCCCAGGCCTACCTCCGACTGGTGGCCTCATAGTCAGGCTGAGTGGGGTCTTCGGTCCCTTGGAGCCGGGCCACTGCTCTCTCCTTGTCCAGATACGCACCCCGTACCAGCTTCACTCCGAAGGCCAGGCCAGCCCTGTGCGCGGCCTCTGTGTCCCGCTCCAGCCGCTCAAGTGTGTCCTGCAGGGCACGCGGGCAGGTTCTGGTAGGTTGGGGTGTGGGGACCCCAGCCTGCACCTCCCGGAACACGCCACACACCTTGAGATAGGCCTGGTAGGTGTTCCACACCCAGGGCCCGCCTTCCCCCGGGCTGTTCCAGCGCACGGCCAGGGCAGCCACAAGCAGCGAGAGCGCGGGATTCAGTGAGGTGTACTCCGCATCCACCAGGAGCCGCACGTGCTGGGCCCGGGCATGCTGCGGGCAACAGAGACGGGGGTCAGGGCCCTCCTGGGCGTCCAGCAGGGGCACTGGAGCCAGACCCCGGCAGGAGGGGTTACCTGTGCCACCCGGTGCAAGCGGCTGAGGGAGGCCTGGAGGTGCTGGTTCTGCTCCGCATTGAGACAGGAGACCTGGAGGCTCTAGGGGGCAGCAGGGGAAGTGGGAAGAAGCTTAGAAGTTGCTAGAAATTTGAAAATGAAGACTATCAGATAGGTACTATTTATTGAGGTGGTTATGAGCCCAGAATCAGGGTTTGAATTCAGGCTCTGCCACACTATTGTGTGACCTTAGACAAGTTGTATAACCTTTCTGGGCCTCAGTTTTTTGTTTCTTGTTTTTCTTTTTGAGAGTCTTGCTTTGTGGCCCAAGCTGGAGTGCAGTAGTGTGATCTCGTCTCACTGCAACCTCCGCCCCCTGGGCTCAAGCAATTCTCCTGCCTCAGCCTCCTGAGTAACTAGGATTACAGGCTCATGCCACCACGCCGGGCTAATTTTTGTGTTTTTAGTAGAGACGGGGTTTCACCATGTTGACCAGGCTGGTCTCGAACTCTTGACCTCAAGTGATCTGCCCACCTCAGCCTCCCAAAGTGCTGGGATTACAAGCATGAGCCACGGTGCTCAGCCCTCCCTTCTACTCTTTGAACACAACAGGTACCTTCCCACCTCCAGGCCTTCATCTGCTCCCACTTCTTCAAGTCTTTGTTCTAATGTCACTTTCTCAACATGGTTTTCCCTGCCATACATTGGCAACTTCCTTTCCTATTCCTCAGCCTTATTTTTCCTTACTTGTTACATACTGACTTTTTTTTTTTGAGATAGGGTCTTGCTGTGTTGCCCAGGCTAGAATGCAGTGGCATGATCATGGCTTACTGCAGTCTTCACCTCTCTGGCTCAAGCAGTTCTCCTGCTTCAGCTTCCCAAACACCTAGGACCACAGGCATCCACCACCATGCCTGGCTAATTTTTTGCTATTGTAGAGTCAGGGACTCCCTATGTTGCCCAGGCTGGTCTCAAACTCCTGGGCTCAAGCGATTCTCCCACCTCAGCCTCCCAAAGTGCTGGGATTCTGACTTTGATTTTAATTATTGTCTCTTGCCCCTAACTAGAAAGTAAATGCCTCAAGGTCAGGGATTTTGCCTTCATGCCTCCTTGGCCCCTAGCACCATATCTGGAGCAAGATAGATGTTCAGCAAGCACTTCAGGAGTGGATACACTTGTAACGTGGAAATAAGAACTGTTCCTAACTCACAGTCTTGTTATGCGGATTCATCCAGTTCAATGTGAGCTGCTGGTGACTCCAGGGAGTCTGGCTGGGTTCAAAGAAATTGGGAAATGGAAGAAAGAGGAACAGGTGGGGCTGAAAGCTTTATTACATCCAACAGGGTCGATCCAGATGACGCAGGTGTAGGCTCATGGAGCCCCACCTGGAGGCAGGTTGGGCTGGAAGCTGCAACCCTCCCCATCGAGGGGGAGAATGCTCCCACCTGGAGCAGGGAAGAGCTGGGCGCAGCACCCAGTTACCTCTTCCTCCATCAGAGGATTGTCTCCCCCTTGACTTGGGGCATAGTCTCAGGCCCTCCGGGAGCTATTTCAGACACCCACCAAATAATTAACTCGTTTAATCTTTACCACCCTCTGATGTAGCAACTGTTATTATCTCCCATTTTCTAGATGGGGAAAATGAGGCACAGAGCGGTGAAGTCCCTAGTTGAAAGTCACACAGCTAACTCAGGGCAGAACTGAGGTTTGAACCTCAGCCTTTCCAGAGCCTGGATCTTCCTTTCTTTTCTTTAATCTTCTCACTCCCTCCCTTCCTTCTTTTTTTTTTTTTTTTTCTTTTTCTGGTGAGACGATCTTACTCTGTCTCCCAGGCAACAGTGCAGTTATGTGATCTTGAGTCACTGCCATCTTTGCCTCCCAGGTTCAAGTGATTTTCCTGCTTCAGCCTCCGAGTAACTGGGACTACAGGCGCACACCACCACTTCTGGATAGTTTTTATATTTTTAGTAGAGATGGGGTTTCACCATGTTGCCCAGGCTGGTCTCAAACTCCTGACCTCGAGTGATCCACCCTCACTTAGCCTCCCAAAGTGCTGAGATTACAGGCATGAGCTATGGCACCCGGCCCTCTTTCTTTCTTTTTTTCTTTCTTTGAGACAGGGTCTCATTCTGTCACCTAGGCTGGAGTAAACTGGTGCGATTTTAGCTCACTGCAGCCTCAAACTTGCCAGCTCAAGCAATCCTCCCACCTTAGCCTCCCAAGTAGCCAGGATTACAGGTGCCTGCCACCACATCCAGCCAATTTTAAGAATTTTTTTGTAGAAACAAAGGCTTACTATATTACCCAGGCTGGTATTGACCTCCTGGGCTCAAGCAATTCTCCTGCCTTAGCCTCCTGAGTAGCTGTAACTATAGGTGTGCTCCACCACGCAAGCTAATTTTTAAATTTTTTGGAGATACGGGGTCTCACTATGTTGCCCAGGCAGGTCTTGAACTCCTGGGCTCAAGGGAGCCTCCCATATTAGCCTCCCAAAATGCTGATTACAGGTGCGAGCCACTGCACCCAGCCTGTTTCCATCCTTAAACCCACCAAGAAGTTGCTGTCACTCTCCCCACAGGAATAAACTAAAGCTTATGAAGAGGTGAACCCCTTACTTGCCAAAACTGATTTTCTAAACCATTTCTATGTGTTCTCTGACACAATATGAAGATTACAAATAGGGGCCAGGTGTGGTGGCTCACACCTATAATCCCAGCACTTTGGGTGGCTGAGGTGGGTGGATCACTTGAGGCCAGGAGTTTAAGACAAGACTGGCCAACATGGTGAAACCTCGTCTCTACTAAAAATACAAAAATTAGCTGGGTGTGGTGGTGGGTGCTTATAATCCCAGCTACTTGGGAGGCTAAGGCAGGAGAATCGCTTCAACCCAGGAGGAGGTTGCAGTGAGCCAAGACTGTGCCACTGCACTGCAGCCTGGTGACAGAGTGAGACTCTGTATCAAAAAATAACAATAATAAATGCATAGATAAATAAAAATTACAAATAAAAAAATTAGAAAGAAATGTCAGCATGTCCACTGTAGCATCGTTTGGGGGGTGGAGACTCAGAGGCCACCAGGGGTCCACCCCAGGAGAGGTAAACCATGCAGCTAGAAGCAACTATTGGAAACAATGGGGGCTGGGCATGGTGGCTGAGCCTGTAATCCCAACAACTTGGGAGGCTGAGGCAAGAGGATTCTTGAAGCCAGGAGTTAGAGACCAGCCTGTGTAACATAGTGAGACCCCTTCTTTACAAAAGTTTTAAAAATTAGCCAGACATGGTGGCTCATGCCTGTAATCCCAGCTACTTGGGAGGCTGAGGCAGGAGAATCGCTTGAACCCAGAAGTTCAAGGCTATAGAGAGCTGTGATCGTGCCACTGCACTCCAGCCTGGGCGACAAAAAGAGACCCTGTCTAAAAACAAAAACTAAAACAAAACAAAAATTGGTGTGGATCTTAATATCAGTGGAAAAAATAAGAAGTAGAATGAGATAGCTGATGCAATGGTTTCGTGTAAATTTAAAACATTCGCTCAACTGTGGAGATGGGCAGGAGGGAACTTTGCAGTGATGGAAATGTTCTAAATCTTTTTTTTTTTTTGAGTCATAGTCTGACTCTCGTCACCCAGGTTAGAGTACAGTGGTGTGATCTCAGCTCACTTCAACCTCTGCTTCCTGGGTTCAAATGATTCTCTTGCCTCAGCCTCCCAAGTAGCTGGGATTATAAGCGCCCATCACCATGCCCAGCTAATTTTTGTATTTTTAGTAGATACCATATTTTAGTAAATATCACATTGGAGAAAATAAAAAATAAACAACAAAAAAAAAGAAACAACCAAAAATTATCATGTTGGTCAGGCTGGTCTCGAACTCCTGACCTCAGGTGATCACCTGCCTTGGCCTCCCAAAGTGCTGGGATTACAGGTGTGAGCCACTGCTCCCAGCTGGAAATGTTCTAAATCTTTTTTTTTTTTTTTTCTTAATTTGAGGCAGAGTTTCGCTCTTTTTGTGCAGGCTGGAGTAGAGAGTGGTGCTCACTGCACCTCTACCTCCCGGGTTCAAGTGATTCTCCTACCTCAGCCTCCCGAGTAGCTGCAATTACAGGTGCATGCCAACTCATCCAGCTAATTTTGTATTTTAGTAGAGATGGAGTTTTGCCATGTTGGCCAGGCTGGTCTTGAAGTCCTGACCTCCAGTAATCTGCCTGCCTCGGCCTCCCCAAGTGCTGGGATTATAGGTGTGAGCCACCGTGCCTGCCCATGTTTGAAATCGTAATAGGGATTTGGATTGCTCAAGTGTATATTTGTCAAGGTTCATCAAGGGCCACATTTACAATGTGTGGAGTTAATTGTTTTACCTCCAAAGAAAGTAAGTGCTGCAAATGATCAGTGGGCTCTAATAACCCGTTGTTCACATCCTGAAGCATTTACGGGTGAAATGTACTGATGTCTGCAATTTACTTTGAAATGCATCAAAAAATCCGATGGATTGATGGATGGAGAGAAGAGAGGGACGGAATGAAGAGAGGGATATATATGATTTAAAGAAGTATAGTTAAAGGTGGCAGGTATGTGGATGTTCACTGTACAACTCTTTTGACTTGTCTGTATATTTGAAAATTTTTTATAATGGCATATTGGGGAGATTATGCTCCCCACGGACGGTATACACCTGGCAAAACAAAATCATTGGAACAAATAGGTATACATTATACAAGATGGAAGGCTGGGTGTGGTGGCTCACACCTGTGATCCCAGTGCTTTGGGAAGCTGAGGCTGGAGGATTGCTTGAGGCCAGGAGTTAGAGACCAGCCTGTGCAACACAGTAAGACAAAGAGAGAGAGAGAGAGAGAATGAAAGGGAGGGAGGGAAGAGGGAGGAGAGAGGGAAGGAGGGAAGGAAGGAAAGGATGGAGGGAGGGAGAGAGAAGGAAAGAAAAGAAAAGAAGGGAGGAAGGAAGGGAGGGGAGAGAGAAAGAGAAAGAGGAAGGAAGGAAAGAGAAAGAAAAAAGATGGACTACGGCTGAAATAGAATATAGAGATGAAAAGGAATGAATTATTGAATGAACCAGACATCCCATTGGCCTAATCAGAGCTTACATGCAGCCAGCTCTCACCCACGTGGGTGTGTTGACTGAAGACATATTGATGTAGCTCCTTCCAGTTCATAAACAGCTTCTATCCCAATCCCACCTCTGAGAGCCTCCAGCCTCCAGGGCCCTCCCTGAGAACCCCAGAGGACCCTGATCCCACCCATTTCAGCCATGCCCTGGAGCTATAGCTGCATTTCTGCTGGCTGTCCCAAGCCTGGAGGTGGCCTGAGCATTTTGGGCATGCAGTGAGGCCTCATCTGAGGCCAGAGCACTCTGTTCCCTACACTCCCGCCTGAGATCTTTACCTGTCCAGAGTCCATGGCTTCGGCCAGCCTCTCAGGGCTCAGCTCCAACGAGGCCCCTGGCCTTCTGACCAACGAGGTTAGCTCCTTCTGAAACGGGTTGGTTGGTGGGGTGGTGAGGGGAGCCCAGTGGGCAGCTGCCCCTTCCCTGCACCCCCATCTTTGCACCCCTTACACAGAGCCGAGCGCTGGTCAGCGCCGTCACCTTCAGCTGCATGAAGCTGGCCTGGCTGAGGGGCTCCAGGAGGCTCCGTGACAGGTCCACACACCGCAGCATAACGCCGAGGTTTTTCTCGTAGCAGGCCTCACTGCCCAGCCAGCAGGTGTCAGGGCCCTACCTGCGAAGCCCCTTCCTGTGTCCTCCCAGCCTCCCTGGGCCCTGCCCCCTACTCACCCAGTTTTGGCAGTGGAGTCCGGCTCCTCCTCAGTGGGCACTGCCAGCAGCGGTCGGAGGCCAAGGGTCCGCAGCTGCTGCACGCAGTCCCTCACCTCCTCTGCTGTCTCACCAGCCACAAACTGCCCGTAGAAGGATGCTCGAAGAAACGCGCCCGAGAGCCGGGAGCCCAGGAGTCGCTGAGACCAGGCCTGGAGCTGGGTGACAGGGAGCGAAGGCTCAGCGCCGGGCTGCGGGGAGCCTTCAGGCTGGTCCTCAGGGTCACTGCTCACCGCCAACCCGTGGGTGACTAGCGGGGGCCAGGCACACAGCCGGAGAACCAGCAAGGCCCGTGTCAGCTCTTTCGTGCGCTTGAGGTGGAAGGCCCCGCCATCAAATCTCAGGGGCGGACAGCCCCCGGAGGGGGGACCAGCTTGGGAACAGAGAGCGCGGCAGGTCTGGAGCATCCTGGGTCCGTGGCTGCGTCCACACCAGGCGAAGGGGCTCCGGATGCAGCAGGTTCACCAACTGCCCCTTGCCCAGACTGGGGGCAGTGACTGATGGCAAAGCTTCAGGATCGCAGGCTCTTTTCGGGGGAGGGGGGGAGCAATTAATTATTAACCAATGGGGACAGAGTTCAGAGTAACGGTAACAGGAGGCAAACCCCCAGTAATAGCCTTCACCAATCGTCAGCACAGCAGCCTGCACTCATTAGGTGACCATCATGTGCTGGGGAGAGCAGGGGCTCTGGGGCAAGGGTCCCCGGGTTCAGGACATTGGGCTTTGTGATCCGGGGCAAGCTACTTAACCACTTTTGTGGCAACTGCTTCCTCTTAAAATTGGAAATGCTGTAGTGTCATTGAATACATTTGAAAATATGGCTCTCACATTTATAATCTCAGCACTTTAGGAGGCCAAGACCAAGGAGTTGGAGACTACACTGGGCAACATAGTGAGACCCCATCTCTACAAAAAGTACAGAGCTGGGCATGGTGGCATGCACCTGTGGTCCCAGCTACTCAGGAGGCCGAGGAAGGAGGATCTCATGAGCCCGGGAGGTCAAGGGTGCAGTGAGATGTGATTGCACCACTGCACTCCAACCTGGGTGACAAAGTGAGACTCTGTCTCTAAAAAAAGAAAAAAGAAAAGACAAATAACCTATATAACCCAGTGGTTTCATGCTAAGTACATATCCCAGAGACCTTGAACACGGATAGCAGGAAACATGTACAGGAAAGAATGTTGAAAGGAGCACTGTCTGAACCATCCAAACGTCCATCAAAAGGATGATGGATACATACACGGTGGTGCAGTTATGCAGTGGCGTACTGTACAGTAACGAGAAAGAATGGACACTGATACACACAGCTGTGTGGCTGAATCTCACAACGTCAAGTGAAAGAAGCCAGCCACCAAAGAGAGCAAGCTGTATTATTCTTTTCAATAGCTATAAAAGCAAGAAAATGAAACTACAGTAAAATTTTGGGAATACTTGTTTGGGTGGTCAAACTATGAAGATAAGAAAAGTGAGGAATGGTTATCACAGAGGTCAGGGAGGCGGCTGATTGCTGGTGGGGATGGGAGGAGCTGTAACTGGACAGAGGCTTATGGGGGCTTCTATGTCCTATTTTCTTTTTTAAAAATGGAAACCATAGGTCCTAGGTCTGTTCTGTTTTGTTAGACTGATCTTTGCTCTGTCGCCCAGGCTGGAATGCAGTGGTGTGATCGCAGCTCACCGCAACCCCCATCTCCCAGGTTCAAGTGATACACACCTGCCTCAGCCTCCTAAGTAGCTGGCATTACCACCACCATTCCCAGCTAATTTGTGTATTTTTGTATAGATGGGGTTTCACCATGTTGGCCAGACTTGTCTCCAACTCCTGACCTCAAGCAATCCACCTGTCTCCTCCTCCCAAAGTGCTGGGATTACAGGCATGAAGTCCTCGGTCTTAACATGGATAATAATTCACAGTTGTTCACATTGTAAGGTTTTGTTTTGTTTCGAGACAGAGTCTTGCTCTGTCTTCCAGGCTGGAGTGCAGTGGGATGATCACTGCTTGCTACAGCATCCAACTTCTGGGCTCAAGCAATCCCCCGGCCACCTCCACCTCCCAAGTAGCTGGGATTACAGGTGCGTGTGCTCACACCCAGGATAATTTTGACTGGGGTCAGTCACATGGGCATGGCTGACTGCTCGCATGACTGACCTTGTCTCTAGCTCCTCCAGAGCTCAAGCTGATACTACATGGCCCAAGGTCCCCAGATCCCAGATAAACAAAGATTTTATTTATTTATTTATTTATTTAGGAGATGGAGTCTCACTCTATCACCCAGGCTGGAGTGCAGTGGTATGATCTTGGCTCACCGAAACCTCCGCCTCCCAGGTTCAAGCAATGCTCCTGCCTCAGCCTCCCAAACAAAAATACTCTTATCAAGAAGGATAGATAGTACAAGGGCTTAGTGGTTTCCTCCCAGGAACAGAGCGATGTTAATCCTTTACTACACAACCCCAATTCACAGATGTTAAAAGTATAGGCCAGGTGCGCTGGCTCATGACTATAATCCCAGCACTTTGGGAGGCTGAGGCAGGCAGATCACCTGAGGTCAGGAGTTCGAGACCAGCCTGGTCAACATGGTGAAATCCCATCTCTACTAAAAAAAAAAAAAAAAAAAAAATCAAAAAATTAGCTGGGCATGGTGGCACGTGCCTGTAATCCCAGCTACTCAGGAGGCTGAGGCAGGAGAATTGCCTGAACCCAGGAGGCGGAGGTTGCAGTGAGCCGAGATCATGCCACTGCACTCCAGCCTAGGCAGCAAGAGTGAAATTCTGTCTCAAAAAAACAAAAAGTGGAGGCTCAGAGAGATGGAGACACCTGCCTGAAGTCACATAGCCAGTTGTCAGCCAAGTGCTGATTTAAGACCTCTTTCCCCCGGACAGAAAACTGTAACTTTTTTTTTTTGAGAAGGAGTCTCGCTCTGTCGCCCAGGCCGGAGTGGAATAGTGCAATCTTGGCTCATTGCAACCTCTGCCTCCTGGCTTCAAGAAATTCTCCTGCCTCAGCCTCCTGAGTAGCTGGGATTATATGCACCCAGCACCACACCCAACTAACTTTTGTATTTTTAGTAGAGATGGAGTTTCACCATGTTGGCCAGGATGGTCTCAATCTCTTGACCTTGTGATCCCACCATCCCGGCCTCCCAAAGTGCTGCAATTACAAGCCTGAGCCACCCCACCCAGCTGCCTTTAAGCTTTTTTTTTTTTTTTTAATTACATACATGGTTCATATTTTTAAAAATTAAAATACAAAAGGAAACAGAGTGAAAAGTCAGTCTTTCTCTCACTCCTGAATTTCTGTGCACCAATCTCTTCTCTCTAAGGCAACAGGGTATCCTTGCAGAGAAAGTTTATGCATAGAAAGTTGTATAAACTTTCTAGTTTCTTTCTTTCTCTTTTTTTTTTTGGGGGGGGACAGAGTCTCATTCTGTCACCTAGACTGGAGTGCAGTGGTGGAATCGTGGCTCATTGCAACCTCCACCTCCCGGGTTCAAACAATTATCTGCCTCAGCCTCCCAAGTAGTTGAGAGGCGCCCACCACCATACCCAGCTAATTTTTGTATTTTTAGTAGAGACGGAGTTTCACCATGTTAGCCAGGCTGGCCTTGAACTCCTCACCTTGTTATCCACCCTCCTCAGGCTCCCAAAGTGCTGGGATTACAGGCTTGAGCCACTGCGTCCGGCCAAACTTTCCAGTTTCTGTAGCAGCTATATCTCTCCAGCACTTGTACGTCACCTTTATTTATTACATGAATGATAAAATACTACTTGTCCTTTTGCACACTGCTTTTTAAATTTTTACTTATTTTATTTCATTTATTTGTTTTTGAGACAGGGTCTCACTCTGTTGTTGCCCAGGCTGGAGTGTGGGGCTGGAGTGTGGTGGCACGATTTCGGCTCACTGCAACCTCAACCTCCCAGGCTCAGGTGATCCTCCTACCTCAGCCTCCCAAGAAGCTGGGACTACAGGCACATGCCACTATGCACAACTAAATTTTTTTTAAAATTTCTTTTCCTTTTTTTTATGGTGGTGGGTCTCACTCTGTCACCCAGGCTGGGGTGCTGCAGTGTGATCATGGCTCACTGCAGCCTCAAACTCATAGGCTCAAACAATCCTCCTACCTTGGCCTCCCAAATGCTGAGTTTACAGGCATGAGCCTGCATACTCAGCTTTTTATTTTATTTATTTATTTATTTATTGAGATAGAGTCTTGCTCTGTCACCCAGGCTGGAGTGCAATGATGCGATCTCGGCTCATTGGAACCTCTGTCTCCCAGGTTCAAACAATTCTCCTGGCTCAGCTTCCTGAGTAACTGGGATTATAGGCCTGCGTCACCATCCCTGGCTAATTTTTGTATTTTTAGTAGAGGGGGGTTTCAACATGTTGGCCAGGCTGGTCTTGAACTCCTGGCCTCAAGTGATCTACCCGCTTCGGCCTCCCAAAATGCTGGGATTACAGGTGTGGGCCAGTGCTCCTGGTCTTTTTTTTTTTTTCTTTTAACAATCATTTTGAGGCTGGGTGCGGTGGCTCACGCCTATAATCCCAGCACTTTGGGAGGCCGAGGCAAGTGGATCTCGAGGTCAAGAGATAGAGACCATCCTGGTCAACAAGGTGAAACCCCATCTCTACTAAAAATACAAAAATTAGTGGGCATGGTGGTGCGCACCTGTAGTCCCAGCTACTCGGGAGGCTGAGGCAGGAGAATTGCCTGAACCCAGGAGGCGGAGGTTGCGGTGAGCCAAGATCACGCCACTGCACTCCAGCCTGGGTAACAAGAGCGAAATTCCGTCTCAAAAGAAAAAAAAAAAACCATTATTTTGAAGGATCATTGCCATCTCAGCACATATAGCTCTGCCTCAAATTTGAAAGATTTTGTTATTTCTTCCTTTTGTCTTTGATAATTCACCAGTGAAGCCATCTGGACCTGGAATTTTCTTTGTGGGAAGGTTTTTAATAATGAGTTTAATTTCTTTTTTCTTTTTTTTTTTTTTTTTTGAGACAGAGTCTTGCTCCATCGCCAGGCACCAGGCTGGAGTGCAGTGGTGCAATCTCGGCTCACTGCTACCTCCACCTCCCGGGTTCAAGCAATTCTCCTGCCTCAGCCTCCTGAGTAGCTGGGATTACAGGCACGCGCCACCATGCCCAGCTAATTTTTGTATTTTTAGTAGAGACGAAGTTTCACCATGTTGGCCAGGATGGTCTCGATCTCTTCACCTTGTGATCTGCCTGCCTCGGCCTCAAGTGCTGTGATTACAGGCGTGAGCCACCGCGCCCGGCCCAATTTATTTAATAAATATAGAGCTCTTCAAATTGTTTGTTTCATCTGTGTTAGCATTTGTATGTTGTGTTTTTCTTTTTTTTCTTTTTTTTTTTTTAAAGACAGGGTTTCACCATGTTGGTCAGGCTGGTCTTGAACTCCTGACCTCAGGTGATTAGCCCGCGTCAGCCTCCCAGAGTGCTTGGATTACAGGTGTGAGCCACCGCACCTGGCATTTTATTTTATTTATTAAAAAAATTTTTTTTCCATAT